AGCCAAGTTTGGTTGAAATTGGACTAGTGGTTTTTCACAAGAAGATTTTTTAAGTTCACTATATAATCTATATAACACACACACAAATACACACACAAACACACACACACACAGGTGAATCGCTATATGCCACCGCATCGCAGATGCTGCGGTGGCATAAAAATGGCAATTGGTTTAGAAATCAAAACAGAATTAATAGCTCAACATGCCTCATTTGCTTTACATAACCTGTTTCAAGTATTTAGAAATATAGAACTACCAACGTATCAGAAATGTAAAATGTTGGGTCCATTTTTAATCATAATTCGGAGATACGGGGAATGCACGATGCTAAAGATATAGAATTAATTCATACTAAATTTTTGCGGAGCGTCTTAGGGTAAAAGTCCACTAATTTGTCAGCACTTTATGGTGAGCTTGGTCGTTATCTGTTACATATTTCTAGAAAACTTGACATGATAAGATAATGGTCGCAAAAACTTAAAACGTTATGATACGTCCCTTGTAAAGCAAGCGTATTTGCTTCTCAGGTCAGACACAGATGTTGGTCGAAATTATAACGGAACAAATTGGGCTTTTTTATTAAAGACACCTTGTCAATATATTTGGGACAATCAGTTTGATATAAATATACCATATGATACTATTAAACAAAGATTAATTGACACTTTTTTACAATGTTGGTATGCTTCTATCAATAATTCACCAAAATTACAAACATACCGCATATTTAAACATTCTTCTAAAATCGAAAAGTATTTAAATTATGTCCAAGAAAGAAAATACAGAACTGCTTTAACTAGATTTCGAATTTATTCCCATAATTTATTTATAGAAACTGGTATTGGCCGACTATAAATAAACTGGATAGCCTTTTATCGTCAGTCTCAAAGGTAACTATATGTGCCTAAGCTATTTTTTTGTATTGGACAAATATCATAACATTCCGGCGCTATGCACAACTAGATAAGATATTTCAATTTATACCTATGGCAATCATTTTGTGCAGTGAAGTAAAACGCACCCCCAATATGCACAACAAGGTATGGTACTTATCACTCTTGTAAAGTCGAAATCCCGACAGCATTTTGACCTGTGAAAGCTGGACAATATTTTTTATTTAAATATCTGGTGGCCATTTTGTGCAGCAAAGCGGAACGTGCTGGCAATAAGCACAACTAAGTATGGAACTGCATGATCACTTCAGTGAAGTTTCATTGAAATCCCGACGGCAGTTTGACCTGTGATAGCCAGACAGGAGTTTTCTAATTTTAGTCCTTGCAGCCATTTTGTGCAGTGAAGCAGAACATGCCTGCGAAACGCACAACTAGGTATGGTATTGATCGCTCCCGTGAAGTTTCATTGAAATCCCAATTTGACATGTGAAAGCTGGACAAGCTTAATGTGTATGTACGGACATACGGACGAACAGCGAACCCAAAAACAATATCTCCAAAATTTTGGGAGGCATAAGAACTTTTATGTAGTTATTAGTTACCCGTACTTTAGTTACCACATTGCCTGTAGACCAGAGAGTATCAGAACAACAGTTACCTCCTCCTGTCTACAGGTTGGGGTCATGATGGTGAACAAGTGTGCAAAGTTTCAAAGCCATATGTCAATGGACTTTGAAAATATTTGAGGTATTACAAAAACTTTAGCATACCGTATAAGTGTTTTTTCTGCGGGCTCCAAATTCTGCGGTTTTTCCAAATTTTGGCATGTTTTTATTTCTGCGGACTTTATTTCTGTGGCACAGTCTTTGCACAAAACGTGATTTAAATTCTGCGGCTTATCTTATCAAAGTCTAATTCACATTACTGTAACAATTTTATTTGCATGTACACATCCGTATTAAAATTGGGTTTATCGTCGTCACCGCAAAACTATATTATGGTAATTACAAATAACTATATTGTTTTCTTGCAAACAAATATAATGCACAACAATAGACAGCATGCATCTTTTGATAAGCGTGAAATGACGTGTGAAAAATTAACACCTGTAGTATCTATGATTTAATAAAATTAATAGAAGTTTGTCGTAAATCAGACAACAATTAATGTATACGACGATTATTTAGCAGTATAAGGGTTAAAATGGTTTTAATGATTTAGTGGTTAACAAACCTTTTTAGCGTAACGGCAAACACTATGATATTTAAATATCTTTTTCATAAATTAACATAATTAACAATAGGTACATCCTTACAAGCACATATTACATACTTAGCCGAAAGCAATTTTATATAGCTCGATCACCCATTATAATCCGTTAGTCGTAATTACTTTAGATGAAACAGGTCATAATGTAGGACATATATCGTTAAAAATAAAAAAACAAGATTGCATTTGAGAAAAATGCTATGCCACCGCAATAAAACAACACTAAATAGTAGTGTAGGAACAGATTTTTTTGTTTCTATACAATTGAAAATTGTCATAATGCATATCTAATTCTTATTATCAGATTAGTGGTTAAATCTATTGTTAACTCAATAAAAGATCAGAGTAGGAATATATCAATGCACTTGAGTCTAGTGAATTTGGTGGTGAAGGTCATATTTCACACAGCCTAAAATTTCATGACTGCATCAAAGGACAACATGTAATACACTTTGTCAAAATCTAGGTCACTTTTAATTTTGACACTAGAGGCAAAATTTGAACAACTTTGGAAGAGTACCTATATATGATATCATTTAACAAATATTTAAGCTCTAAGCCTTGTACCTTCAGACAATAAGATTTTTTTGATTTTTTACTATATGTATATATTGAAAATCAATGACCCCGAGGCGGGGGCAATTTTGACCCCAGGGCTATAATTTGAACAATCTGGGTAGAGGTCTATCAGACAATGCCTTATGCAAAATATCTAAGCTCTAGGCCATTTGGGTCTTTACAAGAAGGTATTTTAAATTTTTACTATATGTACATATAGTGAAAATCCATGACCCCCGGGGCAGGGCTGATTTTGACCCCAGGGCTATAATTTGAACAATATTGGTAGAGGTCTACCAGAAAATGCCTTATGCAAAATATCTAAGCTCTAGGCCTATGGGTCTTTACAAAAAGGTATTTTAAGTTTTTACTATATGTACATATAGTGAAAATCAATGACCCCCGGGCAGGGGCCGATTTTGACCCCAGGGCTATAATTTGAACAATCTTGGTAGAGGTCTACCAGACAATGCCTTATGCAAAATATCTAAGCTCTAGGCCTTTTGGGTCTTTACAAGAAGATTTTTAAATTTATTCTTATAATTCCTTTTGGTTGCTATGGCAACAAGATTTCTGCATGGAATGAAATTCTTTGAACAACTTTGGAAGCCCTTCACCCAAGGATCAATCCTGCCAAGTTTGGTTGAAATTGGACTAGTGGTTTTTCACGAGAAGATTTTTTAAGTTCACTATATAATCTATATAACACACACACACACAAACAAACAAACGAACAAACACACACACACACAGGTGAATCGCTATATGCCACCGCATCGCAGATGCTGCAGTGGCATAAAAAATGAACAAGGAGAAATTTTCTGCGGTTTTTATTTCTGCGGTGCTGAAACTGACCGCAGAAAACGCAGAAATAAAGTCAACACAGAAAAAACCACTTATACGGTAAGTGGTTACGCCGACGCGGACTCCAGCGCCGACGTGGAGGCCGACGCTCGGGTGACTACAATAGCTCTACTTATTCTTATCGAATAGTCAAGCTAAAAATAACAAAGTTATAGCCACTAATAGCAAAAACAAGCAAATTTTAGACATTGGACCTTGAATGTTAAGGTCATGAATGAATGAAAGTCAAGGTTAGTCTGGACTAATAAAAGGTCTTGTGCCAAGGGTTATTGTGGCAAAGTATAAAGACAATACACCAATAACTAAACCAGAGACCCCTGGATCACTCACCTGAGAAATAGGTTAAAAGGTCAAAGTGGGGTCCCTTTTCACCCCAGAAGCACAATTTCAAAACAAGGGACAGCTTAATCTGAACTATTTTTGTACACTGTCACCAAGGAAATTTTGTGTAAAATTATTTCAAAATTGAACCAGTGGTTAAGAAGTTGTTTAGATTTGTTGTTATCTTATTTAAGTTCTGACAACCACTTTATTAAACAGTTCAGCCTGTCACAGTCAGAGGTGAGCTAATAAAAGATGACAGAAAAGGAGAAGGAAAACAAACATTTGACCTGGCTAAGGATTGAACTGTCGACCTTGATCCCCTGGGGCTGGGCCAATTTTGACCCTAGGGGTTTTATTTGAACAAACATGGTAGACATACACTAGAACATGTTTCATGCCAAATATCTAAGCTCCACCTCTTTTGGATTTTCACAAGAAGATTTTTTATGTTTTTTCTATACATGTATACATTTCACAAGAAGATTGTTTAAGTTTTTACTACATACATATAAGGAAAATCAATGACCCCTGGGGCGGGGCCAATTTTGACCCTAGGGCTTTAATTTGAACAAACTTGGTAGACATCCACTAGAAGATGTTTCATGCCATATATCTAAGCACTAGCCCTTGTGGTTTTTTACAAGAAGATTTTTTAAGATTTTTTGTAAAAAAAATCTTTTGGTTGCCTGTGACCTTGATCTTTGACCCAGTGACCTCAAAATCATTAGGGGTCATATTATGACCATGGCCAACCTCCATGCCAAATATGAAGACTGTGGGTCAAAGGAATCTTAAGTTATTGAGCAGGCAAGCTTTTTTAAGTCAAGGCTCCTGTGACCTTGACCTTTGACCTCAAAATCAATAGGGATCATCTACTTATCATGACCAATCTTAATACCAAATATGAAGTCTGTTGGTCAAAGATATCTTACGTTATTGGGTGGACAAGGAAAAACCGACGGATGCTGGACGGGATGACGGACGGATGTCCAGACGGACAAGCTGATTCCAGTATACCCCACTTACAACTACCTTGTGCCGGGGTATAACTATCTTTTTATCACCTCTAATGACCATATGAAAATGGAGTAAGAGCATAAATCAATTTTAATTAAGATTATAAGTATCATGTAACAACATCGTCTGGGATAACATATCCATGTACAAAGCCTAGGGCCTGAACAAGAAATCTATTGCAACATATATATAATTGAGCCGCTTCATGACAAAACCAACATAATGGTTTTGCGACAAGCATGGATCCAGACCAGCCTGCGCATCTGCGCAGTCTGATCAGGATCCATGCTGTTCGCTATCAGTTTCTCTACTTGTAATAGAGTTGGTAAGCGAACAGCATGGATCCTGATCAGACTGCGCGGATCCATGCTGGTCGCAAACCCATTATGTTGGTTTTGTCGTGACAGGGCTTATATGAAAAATCAATATATATAAACAAATTATTTAACATTCAACCAAATATGTAAGCCAAGTAAAAACCATATAATATGCTGCTTTCAGTTTAAAAATCCTAGGGTGAAAACATTACTAAGCATATACAATAGTACCTGAACAAGAGCACCGCTAGGCGGAGCATTATATGCCCGAAAGTACTCTTTCTTTTGGTGAGGAGGACATTGGAATTAAATACAGTATTACCTCCTTCAAAAAGCAATCCTCCTTTATAGCTGAAGAACATTCATGTATATATACAGTTGCTGTTTTCAAAGCACCACCATCAAGTTGTTATCTTGTAAGTAAAAATGCTACAACAGATGGACACCAAGACGTCAGGGGTATAAAGCTGTTAATCCTATAAAATTTTACAGCTGTAGTTCGATTAATACTTATTGAGCGAAAACTGTTTCCAGTTTATAGGTGATAGTAATCCCTTGATCTTTGACCTTGTGAGCCAAAAATCAATAGCGATCTTCTACCCAATATGAACAATCATCCTATGAAGTTTGAATACTGTGGGCCAAATGGAAATTAGGTTATGCTCCGGAAACCATTTTCAGTATTAAGCTAATAGTGACCTTGACCTTTGAACTTGTGACCCCAAAATCAATAGGGGTCTTCTACCCAATATGGACAATCATCCTATGAAGTTTGAATACTGTGGGTCAAATGGAACTTAAGTTATGCTTCGGAAACCATTTTACGTATTTAGCTAATAGTGACCTTGACCTTTAACCTTGTGACCCTAAAATCAATAGGGGTTTTTTACCCAATATGGACAATCATCCTATGAAGTTTGAATACTGTGGGCCAAATGGAACTTAAGTTATGCTCTGGAAACCATTTTCAGTATTTCACTAATAGTGACCTTGACCTTTGACCTTGTGACCCCAAAATCAATAGGGGTCTTCTATTTAATATGGACAATCATCCTATGAAGTTTGAATACTGTGGGTCAAATGGAACTTAAGTTATGCTCCGGAAACCTTTTTCAGTATTTAGCTAATAGTGACCTTGACCTTTGACCTTGTGACCCCAAAATCAATAGGGGTCTTCTACCCAATATGGGCAATCATCCTATGAAGTTTGAATACTGTGGGTCAAATGGAACTTAAGTTATGCTCCGGAAACCATTTTCAGTATTTAGCTAATAGTGACCTTGACCTTTGACCTTGTGACCCCAAAATCAATAGGGGTCTTCTACCCAATATGGGCAATCATCCTATGAAGTTTGAATACTGTGGGCCAAATGGAACTTAAGTTATGCTTCGGAAACCAAATTGCTAACAGACGGACGGACGGACGTACGGACGGACGCCAGGGGGTATAACATAATATGCCCGAAATTCTTTCGGGCATATAATAAAGAGTAGTTACTACAGTAAAAACCCTCAAAACCAGATCTCCACTTATCTTGAATCCTTAGTTCAGCAGAAAAATGTTCAGAGTCCAGAATTTTACCCTTCTTACTAAAATGTTTGAAAATCCTCAGAAAAATCTGAAACTTTGTATTCTGGGTACTAGACAAAAACTTAATAATTTGTCATTTGCCTACGTAATTTTACCTTACAAAATCAGGCATATTATTACAAACTGTGTATAGAAAATATAACATGCATGACATTTTTATTTATATTTTTAGTAGTAACTAACTATAGACAGTACATGTGATATATTGCACCTGTGAAAGATGAAAGAATCTGTTAGCTAGAGACATTTTGAATTATAATTTTAAAAACAAAATATAATTCAAAATGTCTCTAGCTAAATAGGATTAGAGAGATAATATAAATATAATCATATGTAAATCTTTGACTTTCTAAACAAAAATAATTGTTAAAAAATAATTGTTATAATTATATTTGTCTTTACTTTTTTACACTCCTCAAGAATAAATCATAGATTTATCTATTAGATATCAACTAAATTTAAGGATCCATCTATAGCCTTTATAAGTAAGTTAAGAATGTCCAGACTTTAAATCCTCACTAATCCCGAATCCTCGTTAATCCGTCAATTTTGTCAGGACCCGACTAAGTCTAGTTTAGTGAGTTTTTAGAGTATATGTTAATAAAATATCTATTTCCATTTCGACAATGTATGTACTGACTACTCTAAAAATGTTTCCATTGCACAACCATTCAACAGGTTATGTTGACTAGTCATATGAATGCACATTCAAAAGAATATGTAACTACCCTTTATTTTACCTCTGTAACATGTAACACAGAATCTAATGAATAAATTATTGACATTATAGAAATGTTTCTTTTGTTTTTAGAAGGCTTTTATATTTCTGTCCTAATGATTGAAGTTTTGTCTTCAATGTAGCAATATCTAAAGCCATGGTTGCTGCTGCTTTAAAGTCAGACTGACTCTGTCTTAGAGATAGCGGTACAAGCACACCAAACCATCTAAGTGGATCAACCTTTCTTCTGTCAATACTAATCTTATTCTCATCACATATTTCATCATTTCTTGCGGGTATTTCCTCTATATGTTCCTGTTCAACATCTGTTTTATTAACATTCCTTCTTCTAACTGTTGACCTTGAACTATCATCTGACTTTTTTAAGTCAAGGTCACTTAAATCTGTTTCAAGGTCATGAACATCTCCATTTTCAACAGTGAATATATTGTCATCGGCTACTTTGATTGTAAGAAGAGCTGACATTTTGGTCTCATCACACTGCTCTATACCAACTGCCTTTATACCCATATTGTACCTACAAAGAAAACATTATAATTCATTTTAAATTGTTAGTAGGAATAATTTAGAGCAGATTGTCTGTCATGCAAACAAGAGCCACCGCCGGGCGGGGGCAACGCTTGACTTTTTACTATTTCTAAAAGCAAACAAAGAAATGTTTGAACAAATCTTAACGTTTCCTTTTTATAAATTTAATCGTTCTGTCTTGTCACATTAGTTTTTTCTATATATGTTGTTGTTCTTGTTGTTGTCACTTTTTCTAAAAGCAAACAAAGAAATGTTTCAACAAATCTTAACGTTTCCTTTTTATAAATTAATTCGGTCCTGTCTTGTCACATTAGTTTTGTCTATATATGTTGTTGTTTGTTGTTGTTGTTGTTTGTTGTTGTTGTTGTTGTTGTTGATGATGATGATGATGATGAGGAGGAGGAGGAGGATGATATATACATACACACCAATAAATATATATGGTCATTTAATGTACAAATCTGAGAAAATTCAGTAATTTAACCTTCAAGGTCAAGGTCATTAAAGAGCCCCAAGTCAATTTGGGTTTGATAAACAACATGGTCTTGTCCTTAAGAATGTTCTGTTATAATATGAAGTTGATCCATTCAATAATAGCAAAGTTACAGCCAGTTACAGCCAAAACAATGAAAATTTCAATCATTTGACCTTCAAAGTCAAGGTCATTAATGAGTGAAGGTCAAAGTCTGTCTGGTTTTTTTAAGGGTTATCCTTGAAGATTATTATGTTCAAGTTTGAAGACGTAATCCATTCATTAAAAAAAAACAAAGTTACAATCAGTAATAGCCAAAAAATGAAAACTTCAATAATTTGACCTTCAAAGTTAAGGTCATTTATGAGTGAAGGTCTGTCTGGTTATTTTTAAGGGATATCCTTGAAGATTATTATGTTCAAGTTTGAAGACAATCCATTCAAAAATAACAAAGTTACAGCCAATAATAGCAAGAACAAGCAAATTTTGGACTTTTGACCTTGAAGGTCAAGGTCATTTATGGATGAAGGTCAAGGATAGTGTAGTCTACTGAAAGGAAGGTCTTGTCCCAAGGGTTGTTGTGGCCAAGTATGAAGACAATACACCAAGAAATAAAAAAGTTATGATCCAGGTACAAGTAACAATACCTCTACTTTTTTTTCAAAAAAAGTCAAGCTAAAAAGGAACTGTGCATGGGGATTTGGCATATTTTTTGTGATATTCGGAATAGAATTATACAATAAAAGTTCACAAAAGACCTTTATTCAGTAAAAATCAATGTCGTGGATAGAAATCTCATACATGTATCATGATCCCTAAATTGTGTCTAAGTTTATAGAGAGTAGTTTCAGTAGTTTTCTTAAGACTGATACTACATTGCAAAACTGTAGCCATGAATTTCCTATGTTCACAAATGTCCATTTTTCAATCACAAGAGCGATCAGTGATCATATGTGTCACCTACATGTTGCAGCTTTTTTAAGCATGTTGCAGCTACTGTGTAGCAGGAGACTCAAAATTGATTAACATTCTTCTTTTAAATTGTCTCATTAGGAGAACAGAAGAAGTCTGGACAAACTTTAAAAATAACAAGAAATGTCGAACCGCACATATGCCCCACTTTCTAGCCCTTGATTCACATTATTGGTAATTAGGTTACAGAAACTTGCTATAAATGGGCACATGAAAGTGTTCACTTATGGAAAAAAAGACAAAATAATCACCTACTAGTTATAACCAATAAATATGTGAAATATGAATACATTGTGATAAATAGTTTTCATGATGAGCTAAAACCATTCTGCCATTTATGGCCCCTGTGACCTTGACCTTTGACAATATCAATAGGGGACATCTACTAGTTATGACCAATCAATATGTGAAATATGAAGACTATGTGATAAATAGTTTTCAAGATAATGAGCGGAAACCATTCTGACATTTAAAAAGCTCATTTAAGGCACCTGTGACCTTGACCTTTAACCTAGTTACCCCTAAATCAATAGGACCATTGAATAGTTATGACCAATCATGATGTGAAATATGAAGACTTATTGTCATAAATAGTTTTTAAGACAATATAAGTGGAAACCATTCTGACATTAAAAACCCCTGTGACCTTGACCTTTGTCCTAGTTAAAAAAGGAGTCATCTACTAATTATAACCAATCAGTATGTGAAATATGAAGACTATGAGATACTTTTCAAGATAATAAGCAGACACCATTATGAAATTTAATTTCCCTGCGACATTGACTTTTGACCTAGTTACCCTAAAATCAATAGGGGTCATCTACTAGTTGTAACCAATCAATCACTATGTGAAATATGAAGACTTTGTCATAAATAGCTTTCAAGATAATAAGCAGACACCATTCTATCATTAAAGGCCCCTGTGATCATGACTTTTAACCCAGCGACCTAAAAATCAACAGGGGTCTTTTACTTTCTATGATTAATCAGTAGTGAAATATGAAAACTTTCTGATAAATAGTTTTCAAGATAATAAGCAGAAACCATTCTGACATTTAAGGCCCATGCAACCTCGACCTTTGACCTAGTGACCCCAAAATCAATAGGAGTCATCTACTAGTAATGACCAATCACTGTATGAAATATGAAGACTTTGTGATAAATAGTTTTCAAGATAATAAGCGGAAACCATTCTGACATTTAAGGCCCCTTTGACCTTGACCTTGGACCTAGTGACCCCAAAATCAATAGGGGTCATCTACTAGTTATGACCAATCACTATGTGAAAAATGAAGACTTTGTGATGAATAGATTTCAAGATAACAAGAGGCGGTTGAACCGGGTGATGCTCCCCGAATAGGTTTTGGACACAGGAAGGTAAACCTCTTGTAGTGTCACAGTTATGTCACAGACAAAGTTCAAAGTGTAAAAACAACCCAAATGTTGAGCATGACACATTGTCTCAATATGGTGATCATTTCTGTAAAATAGTTGTAAAACTGACGACTTCAAATAACGACGTTATGGGCCGGACATGATTTTGCTGCAAGGTCATGCTGTGACCTTGAACTTAAGGTAGCGACACAAATGTTGCACGCTACGCGTCAATTCAATATGGTGATTATCTCTGTGAAAAAGTTGTTAATCCGACTTCAAGTAACAAAGTTATGAGCCCGACACGATTTTGCTGCAAGGTCATGCTGTGACCTTGACCTTAAAGGTAGCGACCCAAATCTTGCGCGCGCCACCTCATCTCAATATGGTGATAATTTCTGTGAAATAGTTTTAAAATCTGACTACAAATAACGAAGTTATGGGCCGGACATGATTTTGCTGCAAGGTCATGCTGTGACCTTGACCTTCAAGATAGCGACCCAAATGTTGCGCGCGCCACGTTGTCTCAATATGGAAGTCATTTCTGTGAAATAGTTTAAAAATCCGACTTCAAATAATGAAGTTATGGACCGGACACAATTTTGCTTCGAGGTCATGCTGTGACCTTGACCTTCAAGGTAGCGAACTGTTGCGCGCGACACGTCCTCTCAATATGGTGATTATTTCTGTGAAATAGTTTTAAAATCCATCTTCAAATAACAAAGTTATGGGCCAGACACGAATTCCGGACGGACTGAAGGACTGACAGACGGACAACCAGACGACTATATGCTCCAATGACCAATCACCATACCAAGTTTGAAGTTCCTAGGCCTTAGCGTTCTTTAGTTATTGATCAGAAACCGTTTTTCGCACAAGGTCAATGTGACCTTGGCCTTTGACCCCAAAATCAATAGGGGTCATCTGCTGGTCATGACCAATAATCATACCAAGTTTGAAGTACATAGGCTTAAAGGTATTTTAGTTATTGATCGGAAAATGTTTTTACCTACAAGGTCAATGTGACCTTGACCTTTGACCACTAGACCCCAAAATCAATAGGGGTCATCTGCTTGTCATGACCAATCACCGTACCAAGTTTGAAGTTCCTAGGCCTAAGCGTTCTTTAGTTATTAATCGGAAACTGTTTTTACCTACATGGTCAATGTGACCTTGACCTTTGACCCCTTGACCCCAAAATCAATAGGGGTCATCTGCTGGTCATGACCAATCACCATACCAAGTTTGAACTTCCTAGGCCTAAGGTTAACCGTTTTTACCTACAAGGTCAATGTAACCTTGACCTTTGACCCTTTGACCCCAAAATTTATAGGGGTCATCTGCTGGTCATGACAAATCACAATACCAAATTTGAAGCTCCTAGGCCTAAGCGTTCTTTAGTTATTGATCGGGAACTGTTTTTACCTACAAGGTCAATGTGACCTTTACCTTTGATTCCTTGACCCCAAAATCGATAGGGGTCATCTGCTGGTCATGACTAATCACTATACCAAGTTTGAAGTTTCTAGGCCTGAGCGTTCTTTAGTTATTGATCGGAAACCATATTTACCTACAAGGTCAATGTGACCTTGACCTTTCACCCCTTGTCCCCAAAATCAATAGGGATCATCTGCTGGTCATGACCAATCACCACACAAGTTTAAAGTTCCTAGGACTAAGCCTTCTTTAGTAATTGATTGGAAACCGTTTTTACCTTCAAGGTGAATGTGACCTTGACCTTTAAACTCTAAACCCCAAAATCAATAGGGGTCATCTGCTGGTCATGACCAATCACCATACCAAGTTTGAAGTTCCTAGGCCTAAGCGTTCTTTAGTTATTGATTGGAAACTGTTTTTACCTACAAGGTCAATGTGACCTTGACCTTTGACCCCTTGACCCCAAAATCAATAGGGGTCATCTGCTGGTCATGACCAATCACCATACCAAGTTTGAAGTTCCTAGGCCTAAGCGTTCTTTAGTTATTGATTGGAAACCGTTTTTACCTACAAGGTCAATGTGACCTTGACCTTTGACCCCTTGACCCCAAAATCAAAACGGGTCATCTGCTGGTCATGACCAATACCATACCAAGTTTGAAGTTCCTAGGCCTAAGGGTTCTTTAGTTATTGATCGGAAACGGAATTTGGGACATACGTACGGACGGACTGACGGACGGACTGACGGACAACCCGACAACTATATGCCCCCCGAAATTTTTCGGGGAGCATAATAATAAGCGGAAACCATTCTGACATTTTAGGCCCCTTTGACCTTGACCTTTGACCAAGTGACCCCAAAATCAATAGGAGTCATCTAATAGTAATGACCAATCACTGTGTGAAATATGAAGACTTTGTGATAAATAGTTTTCAAGATAATAAGCGGAAACCATTCTGACATTTAAGGCCCCTTTGACCATGACCTTTGACCTAGCAGGGTTGTCAGTAACATTTTTCGCAGAAGGTTTGTTTTGGACTTGAGGCGGCCATTTCTGTTTTTATCAAGCATAACAAAGAGTGTTTTCTTAATTTTGAGGCGGCCCATAATGCATTTGAGACAGTCATTTTGGCCTCCTGCCGCCTCTTAATGACAACCCTGCCTAGTGACCCCAAAATCAAAAGGAGACATCTACGAGTTATGACCAATCACTGTGTGAAAAATGAAGACTTTGTGATGAATAGTTTTCAAGATAATAAGTGGAATAGTTTTCAAGATAATCAGCTGCAACAACAAGCGCTTGACTTTGGAGAACGATATCTTCGGAAAAAATGGTGACAGAAAAATTATTCAAAAACGAACCGGATGATAATCAAGATAATCAGCAGAAACCATGTGATCTACTGACCGACCTTAAAACAACCAACATCAGCAAAACAATATACCCCCTCTTCTTCAAAGGAGGCATAAAAATCAATAAATGAAATCTTTAAAGTGGAAATTGCCAACGATATGCACAACAGGTCTTGCTGCTTGCTATTCCTGTAAGGTTTGGATGAATAGCACCAGTAGTTTTTGAAAAGAAGTCTGGATAAGTTTTGTGACATTCAAACAGACAGACAGAGGGATGGACTGGCAACTGAAAAGTGATCTCTATGTCACTATTCTGCAGCAGGCGACACAAAAAGTAGTCAGAGTTATGGGCCTTGAATTGTGATGTCAAAAACATGTGAGAAGTTACAAGCAAATATCTGGTTGGGTAGGACTGCTTTATTGCCCTCTGAGTATTATTTTGTACATAAGCAGGTACTCATGTAGAACATAGAACCAAAAACAGTGAGCTATAAATTGACCCCTACAATAAACTAAGCAATGGATTCCATAATTTGTTAATTAATAGGCCTACAAGGCTAATCACTATATAACAGGTGTCTTTATAAAGGTACCTTCACAATATGAAGGAGGCACCCTAACATGAATACTTCAGAACTGACTGAAATGCCACTTTAACATTCTTCGGTTAACTGCCACAAAATTTCAATTTGTATTAAGTAGTTTCACTTAATTAACAAAAAATATACAAAAATATTCCAAATTGATGAAATCAAGTTATCAAAACAAATTTTCACAATTTTAGGTGAAATAAAATAAAGCTAAAACTTCACTAGTTTAGTTCAAGAAAAATTGAGCTTATTTTTTAAGGGTTTTATTACAAAGTAAGACAATGTCACTTTCAAAATCTGGGAAAAAGCACATGCCTACCTTGCTCTTGATAAGTTCAGATATCCAGATTTCATTGATTGGTCAAGCATGGCTTGGTTTTGATATATCTTTGTCAATGTTTCGAAAAATTCCAGCAAGACTTTGTCCAATTTCTCACATATATCATCTTTTGTTTCTTCCATGACAATGCCCTCAAATCAAGTTGTAATGTAAGTCTGTAAAGGAAGAGTTGATAATTATGTATAACATTCTTGTCTAACATCATACTAGGCAATTAAATATGCAAATATACCACTCTAAACAATCATGGTACATGTGTAAGTAAATACATTACTTGCCTTAAATTGCAATGCAGAATATCAAAAAGGCCTAACAAAACAAGCCCTTGTTGTTTTTTGAAGATATGATATTTAGTTATTCTTATCTTAAATGTAAGGAAAACTCATGATCCATTGGCGGAAAACATATGGTATCAGCAGTCCAGTCTAGACAATGTTTTTTGCCATTTGTGTATAAAGAGGAGAAGCTCTGTTTTGACAATACATGTACATGTATATAAATATATACAACCCTATGACCCCACCTATGACCCCACACCTGACTTGAATCAACATTGAATATATGTGGCCACATCAAGAAACTGTATACAATTTTTAAACAATGTTGTATTTATGACATTAAATCAACATGTTCAGGATTGACATTGGATTTCAGTGAGATCTTGAAAAGAATACATGGTCGGGTTACTTCCCTTTGTTCTGATTTATACATAACCCAGTTAGGAGGTTTAAATTCTAGTAGATTTTTATTCCATTTTCTTAATATTTTTACTCATGACCCCCAGGGCAAGGCTTATATTGTCCCTTGGGCAGTATTAATAGACAATAATATTCCCATAAAATCTACTATAATTGTGTCGCACGGAACACCTACATCTACATGTGCACACTTTATTCTTTCTCTTGGAAGTCTTTAAGAGGCTGGTAAAAATACCCAATCGAGCTTATAACATAACAAGAGCTGTCACAGGAGACAGCCAATCTCGACTAATAAAATACTGGACACAGTTAGGAAGACAAAACTATGAAAGAAAAATCATATGTATAATTATGTTTTAAGTACAGTAAAAAATAACATTGTTAACGTAAATTCCAAGATCAAGGGGAATAATTCTGGAAATAGTCATGCTAGACTTATGAACCTTGTCACACAACATGTGTGTAATGATAAGAAATATATATTTGAAGTTTGAAGTAGATACCTTAAAAAGTGAAGCAATCAATATAATATTTCTTAAAGAAAATCCTAAGTTCAAAGAGAGATAAATCTGTAGCTATTGCTTCAAGAGTTATGAACCTTGTCACATAAGATATAATTGATGATAAGGAATAAGTATTTGAAGTTTGAGGTAGATACCTTTAAAACTAAAAAGGTTATAGTAAAAAATAACAATTTCAAGTAAAAAAATCTAAGTTTATGGGGAGATAATTCTTGCAATATTGGTGCTAGAGTTATGAGCCTTGTCACATAACATGTGGTTAATGATAAGGTACATATATTTGGAGTATGAGGTTGGTCCCTTAAGAAATAAAAAAGTAACAGTAAAAAATAATATTTTTTAAGGAAAATTCTAAATTCAAGGGAAAATAAATCTGAAAATATTAACCCTAGAGTTATGAACCTTGTCACATAAGATGTGGATGATGATAAGAAACATATATTTGAAGTATGAAGTTGATCCAACAAGAAACAAGGAAGAAACAGTAAAAAATAGTATTTTTTAAGGAAAATTCTAAGTTCAAGGGGAGATAAATCTGAAAATATTGGTGCTAGAGTTATAAACCTTGTCACATAAGATGTGGTTGATGATAAGTAACATATATTTGAAGTTGATATCTTAACCCTTTCCCCCATGAGCATATTGTGAAAAATGGCCATTTTCACTGAAAAGCCTCCTGTTACAAGTTCAAACTGCTGTGAAACTATGAAAAATGCTTCAATACTTATCAAACTTGGCACAAATGTTGACTGGACCATTGCATTTGTAACGACATGCTCAGTCTTAAATTTCCTGTTACCGTGGCAACGAGGGGACATCTCAAAATTGCCAAAAATCACTATTTTGCCTCGATTTTTTCCATCAAAATTTATTTCAAAGTGCTGCAACTTCTCAAGGGATTGAGATAGAGTCAAAGGCTTTTCAGCGTTGGTTACACGTTACCTTATGATTGACCTGGGATAAATTTAAGCCTCTCACAAGTCCAAAATTTTCTTGGCGATGAGGGGGACTCCGCCCCCCTTCAAACCCCCCAAACAGAAGGGGGCATATCCCCCTTCTGGCAACCCCGATGTATCTTTTGCTGCATCAAAACTTTAATCTGAAATCTGGATGCGGACGCAGGGGCGAGTAGGACATCTTTCCATATACTTTGTATAGTCAAACTAAAAAATCACATTTCTAGAAAAATAATAAAGATATTTCTTTTAAACTTTGTTTGCTTATTGAGCATAATATAGCATCATAATATATTACTTGTATAATTATAAAACGGAAAGAAAAATAATTGGTTACTGTCACTTTTGTGAGAATTATTTCCCCTTTTTCATGTTTATATATGACAAATAATTTTTAAAGTCCTTAAAAAATATTTTGCAATGTAAAATTCTTAACAGAAATGTGTCCAACATCTTCATTTTGCTCAAAAATATTGCACCACTACCTTTATTCTATACATTTGGATATAATATTCTGTTTCTGGCATAAATACTTGACAATTCTTTGACACTGAACATTAATTATACTTTTAAGTTTCCTTTGAAAACTGAATGATAATTATGTATGCTGACAGGTGTTGACGCAATGTATTGGGTCATAAAGAAATTATTTGACTTATTTTGTTTTATACTTTGTATATTTTATACAGAGGGACTCCACTGAGGTTTGAACGTCTAAAAACATAACATTTGAATTCTTACATAAATGAGCTGGGGCTCTTTAAACAGAAATATATGCAAAGATAGTTAAGAAATATACTTTGAATTAAATTGTAAATCATATTTTTATGCTCTTCTTAGCCCGATTTGAGTGAAAAGCGTTTTTTACAATTTTTTACAATTTGAATAATTATTTTGGAAAAACAAAGAGCACGAATGATCTGAACTTTTGCACAAAGTTTAGTTGTCTAAACCTACATCAAATGGTACATTTATCTGGAAAAAATATTATCAGTTAAGGACTTGGAAAATTATGTGTCATAATAACGAATCCGGGTCAGCTCGGCCCTAAAACATACTCGGCCCCCGAGTCAGCTCGGCCCTATTCCAACTCGGCACGGGTCAACTCGGCCCACTTTTAAAAATGGGTAAAGGACATCAAAGGACTCCTATTGTCACGGGCTATTATTATCAATCAATGTGTATGTTAAATATACCGATTAATTAGGTGATAATTATGATTGACTTATTCATTCAAATTTGATTAGTGACCACCTGCAATTAATTAGAAGCTTATGCTATTAAGTAAACACGTTTTTTTTAATTTTTTTGAAAATTACTTTACAAACAAAATGCATCTAAGGAAACACATTTTTATTATATCTATATTCACAGGCACAAGTATCGGACCTGGGAAGAAAAAATATGAAGTTATTTTATCAATCTGTTCATATTTTTTCTTCCCAGGTTTGATAATCGTGCCTGTGTCTATATTAATTTTATCGAATCTGCAAGACAAATAAATAACTTTTTTTTCTCTAATATACTTTATTTCAGCAGAGGTAGAGCGGGTTCGGGTATTAGTGGACACTTAAGCATTAATTTCAACAGAGATGTCTTTTATCAGCATTTCATCAAAATTAAGTTAGAATTATGTAGTATATTCATTTGGCGTCGGTATTTATTGTACCGGGGCTTGTCAAGTGGCCGTTTAACTATAATAATGTGTATGATATCTGTACACATACAGTCGGGAGTTACTGAACCTTTCTGCTATAACTGAACATGCTGTCTGGTATTAGTGGACACTTTTGGATTTTTAAAAAAACGATAATGCACAAGTAACAGGTAAATTTATTATTTGTATCATTTCATAAACAATTTGAAAACTCAAAAATTTCATTATAGCAGTTTCTTAGAACGGCGTTACATTAATATGTTTAAACGAAAACAGTAATACTGTCATGGAAACATCAAACGGCTAAAAAACTGTAATTTAAATTAACATAGTGATTTCATGAAGAAAACAACATTCATCAAACAAAGGACTATCAGACTTAACATTTAACAATAGTCACACTCGAACTGTAAATCAGCAAGTTCCGATTCGCTCATTGAAATCAGATCAATTGTAGAAACACAAGCCCTGTGGAGCCATCTCGGACAGTTATGACAAGACACCCAGTTCTCGTATTCCCCATCAAAGTCAACACCACATGCATAACATTTAGTGTCTTTGATATCAACATCTACATCTTGTAATGCGTCATCATCATATGCTACCTCCTCAGATGAATCAGTGTCAGAATCAGAAGAGCTGTGTTTTCTTTTCTGCACTTTCTTGGTCATTTTCAGTTTTTTCTTCAGCTCATTTTCTTTCATTCGTTGTTCTCTCTTTTCCTCTCGCTCCTTTCTTTTCCTTTCCTTCTCCTCTTCTTTCTTTTGTTTACGTTCTTCTCTTTCCCTTTTTCGTTGCTCCTTTGCTCTTATTTCTTCTTCTTTTTTCTGCTGTTTTTCCATTAGCAAATCATGGAACTTTTGGCCTGAAATTGCTTTTGGAAGAGCAATACGTTCAGATTTTGATTTAGTTTTTTGTGTTGTTGATGGTGTTTTTAAAATAGCCCTAAACGATTCGCTGACTTTTTCATCTTGAATTCTATCGCTTGCACCAGCAGTTTGTAGTTTATCAGGATTAACATCACTTTCAGCTGTGGATTGGCTTTGCTGCAATGTTATGTCTACTATATTATAGTTCTGGTCTGTTTCTGTTTCTTTTTCAGGTGGAGCTGGGACATCAGAAGGAATTCCATTGCTTACAGGTGAAAGTGTTGCTGTGGATACTGCAGGCACTGATGCAGAGGTCGGAACGGGTTTTGAAGAAAACACTTGACTTGGTTCCATTTTAGATGTACCCAAAACCTTTCTACTGTCAAGGGGGAAGAGACCGCTATCCCGAAAACCCTTTGTTGCTATCTCTATTGTTGTAGATTTAATCCAGGCTGTCTTAAAAACAGATGCAAATTTGGCTTTTGTCACATATTCGCCAATGTTGGAGATTTGATATGCCCTGACAGCAGATTTCCAGGATTCCTTTAAGGAACTGAACAGCTTAAGGTCACATGGCTGCATCAAATGTGAGGCATGCTCGAGCAAACAGTATAAAATAATTTCCTGTTCTCTACAAAATTTTGAAGCCGACAATGTTGAGTGAGTAGAGTGGCCATCTACAAAGAGAACGACTGGACGCTTTATAGCTCTGTCATCTAATGCAGGCACAAAAACATCTCTCAACCAGGTTACAAATAATTCCGAATCCATCCACCCGTTCTCTGTTCTTCCCATGACAGCTTCAGGAAAACCTTCAAGTGGATTCGTAGCAAACCGTTTCCCAGGATACACAATTAGGGGCTTCGGATAGTAACCAGCTGCACTCATACAAGCTAAGACTGTAACTTGTGTCTTGTCACTAGAAGTAAAGTTATATACATTTGGTACTCCTCTCGGAGCCAAAACTTTTCCACTCTTTGGACAGAGGGGGAAGCCTGACTCATCAGCGTTGAACCATCTAGATGGGTCCATCCATAAAGAAGGGTCTTTGACTTCTTCTGCCATAAAATTAGAAAAGTCTTTAAACCACTTTTCTACTTTAGCAGGAGTGATTATAGCTCTTTCTTTGATAAGCTGTTGAGGTGCACGCTCTGATATTTCTGGGTGGCGCCTAAGAAATCCGTAAAACCAGTCTTTTCCGGGGCGGTTGTCCTTAAACTGTGTAGTCCGACCCTCTGCATCAAGAATTTGTTTCACAGTATCAAGAAGTTCATTGCGATTACGCCCGAAGCCTATCTTTGCCATATGTATCGCCCAAGTAGCTATGTATTGTTCTTCCACCTCAGACAGTACAGATGACGGGCCGGGTTTACAACCAACTTGAGTTTTATCGTTAACCTTGTTGGACAAAGAGCTTTTTGGAATTTGAAAAGCTAACGCTGCTCTCCTCAGCGACATTGAACCACTTTTTACCATATCAATGGCATGCTGCAAAGTTTCATCTGAGTATCTTTTTCGTACTTTTAATTGTTGACTCATTGTTACCTGCAATTGTTTAAAAAAGTAAAACAAATTAAAATAATGTTCGTGAGTGTCCCAATGTAATATATCATATGATATAAATAACGGTAAAGGTGGATGTGATTTCTTTAAAGCAGTTTAATTTAACAACACTCGTTGAAAATCAAAGCCCTTTTAAATTTTTTGAATTATGAATGTTCTGTAAACTATTTCCAGTTTAAATAAATTTTTATTATGTGACGCGATGTTATAAAATGCAATAATAAGAAGAGCTAGATGAACTTTAAAACAGAAAATCGATAAATGTATTGAAGTTATGCATTTTAACTGATGGGTTATTTTGTGTAAAACACAGAGTTATGAAGTTTAACATAATTCATCAGTTTAGTTTGTTGTGTAGACTCTATATGGTTCACTAATAGCCGACTTAAAGAAATTCTTGTCGGGTGTTAGTAAACCATCATTATGGATAAATCAAACGCAGATATTGCTTTGACAACACGCTTGTGGTAAGGTTTAATCATATAGTGACGCATACATAATGCGAGCGCCGCTAGGTATGATTTCAAAACGGTGTTATAGTTAAATGTTCCATGGACGTTATTTAAGAGGTGCGCGTAATATAAGGAAAGCATAGGAAAATAATAAATATTTGAACTTACCGTTTGGCGGGACGTTTTGCAGACAACCGGAAACGAAAAGGATGTACTCGATTAAAATTTTGGGGTCATTGTAGTCCAGAATTATGTTATTAAATAAGAAAACCAGCTCTGTCCACAAATAGCCGACGGTTCACAAATACCCGAACCCGCTCTACAATGTATAATTATAAAATAATAACAAGATATTTCTTATTATTCATTTACCTTAACAATTTATCATTCATTAATCTGATATTTTACAGACTTCCCGAAATACGTCGGTCCGACGGACATGTCCGATAAATTTTGATCAGGTCCGACGAGTTTTTACTCCGGATCGGTCCGACTGTCCGGCTTTTATCCAAGCCGCATGTATACAAAATGGCGTCGCTAAAGGTGAGAAACCTTGGAAAAATTAAAAATCTACGTCAGAGGAACAGGCAGAACAGCAGTATAAGGATAAAAAGAATAGATCTGAGACAAAATTTAATGAAAAATAGAAGCAAGACAGTGAATCGTTGGTGTATGATAGGGAGGAGATGAAAATGCGCTGTAAGGAATGTGCCGATTTTTACGGCGAAAAAATTAAAAACAAAATGTGTCTTAGAAATACAAACACAAGTTATTCTTTGATTTTGATCAATTTTATTTGGTCCGACAGATTTCGTTTCGGTCCGACAGATTTTCATGGTTTGTCAGACCAAATGTCTGACAGTTTTTTTCAACTTTCGGGAAGTCTGATTTTACATTTTTCATTTTCCATGTTACGTTAGGTCTTAACAGATCTTTGCAAAATCGTGTAGCAAAAAAATGACATTAGACATCGATTTAGATCTAATGAATTTAAACAATTAAAACAGCGTGTATTTACATTAATTTTGACTTATTCATGAACAAAACTAAAAAATGAATACCTTTTATCAAAATAATTGAACTGTCACGTCCGAAAAGTCATTATTAAATCCTCTCATTTAATTCCTTGTACACCCGATATACAAATGGCCGCCATACAGTGCGCGAAATCTGATTGGCTAATTCATATGCAAGCGTTTAAATGAGTCAGAACAATATAACGAAATATTTTTTCAACGAAATAATTGCCCATGCACCGCCAGTGTGTTCGAATATATTTTTCCGTTCAAAAAATTGGAATCAATCTGTAAAACGCTTTACTTAACCAGTATGGCCGATGAGCGAAATAGACTGCTATTTACATTTTATTTTTAATTCATAAGTGCATTGTTTGAAAGTTTTTGTTAATGATAGACCATGCAATAGAAAGAACAGAAGATAAGCTTTTGAATTAAGCTTGAAAGGCAAGTGAACATACCTTTTTTTCATTTTTTCAAAATGCTACGCGTTTATGAGCAATAACTATTAGACGTCAGGCTTGACCAACATAAAACTATAACAAGCCTGTACCGTCTAATCTATTGGACTAAGGGCCGAGTTGACTCTTTTCCATAATAACTCATATAAACATGAAAAAGAGGAAATAATTCTCACAAATGTGACAGTAACCAATTATTTTTCTTTCCATTTATGTTATACATAATATTATGCTCAATAAACAAACACAGTTTAAAAGAAATAGATCTAAATCTATCTTCATTATTTTTCTAGAAAATTTATGATTTCTAAATCCTGTTAATGAGAGTTCGAATTTAGTTGCAAATTTTTGCTTGTCATAACATCCCAACTCAGATATCATTACAACTTTACCTGCTTTCGTAATGTATATCAACAATTTGTTTACATTCGTTTTTTTGTATTCAAGAATTTAGTTGTAGTTTTAATAACAACAACACATGATCTTGGGTATGACTTAATACCAAATATGAGTGATATCCGCGGATATCACTATAAATACACTATAAATACCGAATATGACCTATATTTTACAAAGTAATAATTTTTTTATAAATTTTTCTTGATACTATGTTTTATAATAATATAAAATGAATTTACATGCAAAATTGCGTTAAATTTGGTCCATAAATATATATATAAGTTATAAGTTATATTCGAATTACGTTCTATAAAAGTCATGTCCGTGGCGGACAGGAGGTACCGAATATGACTTATTTTTTATGAATTGATTAATTTTTTTATGATTATTTCTCGATACGATGTTTTATAATAATATAATTATTTTACATGCAAAATATCGGGGTCGTTAAATTTGGTCCATAAATAAAAAAGTTATAAGTTATATTCGTTGCGTTTTCTATAACAGTCATATCCGTGAAGGACAGAAGATACCGAATATGACCTATATTTTACAAAGTAATTATTTTTTATAGTTTTTTTTCTTAATAAGATGTATTAAAATAATAAAATAAATTTACATTCAAAATTTCGTTAAATTTGGTCCATAAATAAAAAAGTTAATAGTTATATTCATTGCGTTTTCTATAAAAGGCATATCCGTTGCGGACAGAAGATACTGAATACGCCTTATTTTTTATAAATTGATTATTTTATTATTTATTTTTCTTGATACGATGTTTAATAATAATAAAATGATTTTACATGCAAAATATCGTTAAATTTGGCCAATAAATAAAAAAGTTATAAGTTATATTCGAATTACGTTCTATAAAAGTCATAACCGTTGCGGACAGAAGGTACCGAATACGACTTATTTTTTATAAATTGATTTTTTTTTCTCGATACTATTGTTAATAATAATATGATGTTTTTACATGCATTTTAAGAGAATGTTAACAGAATTTTCTTAACATGTAGTAGATTGAAAGTCGCTATAAAAAAATGTATGAATTTATAAATTAAATTATATTCTGTTTATTAGTCGCTTCTGTTGAAATAAGGCCAATTCCCCCTTTTGATATAAAAACCACCGTGTTAAAGTGACTTTTTTAAAAATAAAAGTGACTGATATGCTACATAAACTTTTTGTTAATATTTTTTTATTAATGGACCAAATTTTACTATTTTTGCATGTTATTTTATTTCATTGATATTAAATATTACATCCAGACAAAATAAACACTTACTTTATAAAATATAAGCAATATTCGGTATATTCTGTTCTTTACGGATAGGATTTTTATTTTTTAAAAAACGCAACAAACATAACTTATTACTTGTTTATTAATGGACCATGGACCAAGTTTTACGATATTTTACGTGTAAAATCATTGTATCATCATATAACATCGTATCAAGAAAACATCATAAAACAAAAATCAATTTATAGAATAAAAGTCATATTCGCTATCTTCAGTCCACCACGGATATGACTTCTATACAGAGCGTGCAATTAATATATGTAACTTACAAAGTCATATTCGGTTTCTTCTTTCGCTACGGATATGACTTCATTTAGAACATGCAACGGATATGACATTAAATTTTTTTTATTTATGTATCAAATTGAACCATTTTTTGGCATGTAATTTTATTCTGTTAGCAGTTCTAAGTAAAATCAGAAACTTTAAAAAACATATGTCATATTCGGTATCTCCTGTCCTTCACGGATATTACTGTTATAGAAACCGCAACGAATATAACTTATAACTTTTTTATTTATGGACGAAATTTTGCATGTAAATTCACTTTATTATTATAAAACATCGTATCAAGAAAAAGTTATAAAAAAAATATTACTTTGTAAAATATATATATGTATCTGTCCGCAACGAAATGCCTTTCATAGAAAACGCAACGAATATAACATATAACTTTTTTATTTATTGACAAAAATTAACGATATTTTGCATTAACATTTTATTATTATAAACCATCATATTGAGAAAAAAATAATAAAACAATCAATTTATAAATATAAGTCATATTCGGTATCTTCTGTCCGCAACAGATATGCCTTTCATAGAAAACGAAACGAATATAACATAACACTTTTTTATTTATTGACAAAAAATTAATGATATTTTGCATTTAACATTTTATTATTATAAACCATCATATCGAGAAAAATAAATAATAAAACAATCAATTTATAAAATGTAAGTCATATTCGGTATCTTCTGTCCGCAACGGACATGCCTTTTATAGAAAACGCAATAAAATATAACTTATAACTTTTTTTATTTATTGACCAAATTTAACGAAATTTTGCATGTAAAACATAATATTATTATTAACCATAGTATCGAGAAAAAATAAATAATAAAATAATCAATTTATAAAAAATAAGTCGTATTCGGTATATTTGTCCGCAACGGATATGACTTTTATAGAACGTAATTCGAATATAACTTATAACTTTTTTATTTATTGGCCAAATTTCACGATATTTTGCATGTAAAAATCATTTTATTATTATTAAACATCGTATCAGAAGAAAAATAAATAATAAATAATCAATTTATAAAAAATAAGTCATATTCGGTATCTTCTGTCCACAACGGATGTGCCTTTTATAGAAAACGCAACGAATATAACTTATAACTTGATTATTTATGGACCAAGTTTAACGATATTTTGCGTGTAAAATCATTGTATCATTATATAACATCGTATCAAGAAAACATCATAAAACAAAAATCAATTTATAAAATAAAAGTTATATTCGGTAACTTCTTTCCGATACGGATATGATTTTATTTAGAACATGCCACAAAAAAAAAACATGTAAATTTTTATTTATGTATCAAATTAAACCATTTTTGGCAAATTAACTTTATTTAAAATTATAAGAAGATCGTATGGAGACAAAAAACTTTATGATCTATAAGTCATATTGGTATCTCCTGTCCGCCACGGACATGACTTTTATAGAAAACGCAACGAACTCATAACTTATAACTTTTTTCACTTATTGACCAAATTTAACCGATATTTTGCATGTAAAATCATTTTATTATTATAGAACATCGTTTTGACAAACAATTCATAAACAAATAATAATTTATAAAATATAAGTCATATTTGGTATCTCCTGTCCGCCACGGATATGACTTTCATACAGAGCGTGCGATATATGTCACTTACAAAAGTCATATTCGGTATCTCTTTTCCGCTACGTATCAAATTTAACCATTTTTTGGCATATTATTTCATTTTTATTATGAAAAAAAATATCGTATGGAGAGAAAAAAACTTTATGATCTTTAAGTCATATTCAGTATCTTCTGTCCGCAACATATATGCTTTCATAGAAAACGCAACGAATATAACATATAACTTTTTTATTTATTGACAAAATTAACAATATTTTGCATTTAACATTTTATTATTATAAACCATTGTATCGAGAAAAATAAATAATAAAATAATCAATTTATTAAATATAAGTCATATTCGGTATCTTCTGTCCGCAACATATATGCTTTCATAGAAAACGCAACGAATATAACATATAACTTTTTTATTTATTGACAAAAATTAACGATATTTTGCATTTAACATTTTATTATTATAAACCATTTTATCGAGAAAAATAAATAATAAAATAATCAATTTATTAAATATAAGTCATATTTGGTATCTCCTGTCCGCCACGGACATGACTTTTATAGAAAACGCAACGAATATAACTTATAACTTTTTCACTTATTGACCAAATTTAACGATATTTTGCATGTAAAATCATTTTATTATTATAGAACATCGTTTTGACAAACAATTCATAAACAAATAATCAATTTATAAAATATAAGTCATATTTGGTATCTCCTGTCCGCCACGGATATGACTTTCATACAGAGCGTGCGATATATGTCACTTACAAAGTCATATTCGGTATCTCTTTTTCCGCTACGTATCAAATTTAACCATTTTTGGCATATTATTTCATTTATTATGAAAAAAATATCGTATGGAGAGAAAAAACTTTATGATCTTTAAGTCATATTCAGTATCTTCTGTCCGCAACATATATGCTTTCATAGAAAACGCAACGAATATAACATATAACTTTTTTATTTATTGACAAAATTAACAATATTTTGCATTTAACATTTTATTATTATAAACCATTGTATCGAGAAAAATAAATAATAAAATAATCAATTTATTAAATATAAGTCATATTCGGTATCTTCTGTCCGCAACATATATGCTTTCATAGAAAACGCAACGAATATAACATATAACTTTTTATTTATTGACAAAAATTAACGATATTTTGCATTTAACATTTTATTATTATAAACCATTTTATCGAGAAAAATAAATAATAAAAAAAATCAATTTATTAAATATAAGTCATATTTTGGGTATCTCCTGTCCGCCACGGACATGACTTTTATAGAAAACGCAACGAATATAACTTATAACTTTTTCACTTATTGACCAAATTTAACGATATTTTGCATGTAAAATCATTTTATTATTATTATAGAACATCGTTTTGACAAACAATTCATAAACAAATAATCAATTTATAAAATATAAGTCATATTTGGTATCTCCTGTCCGCCACGGATATGACTTTCATACAGAGCGTGCGATATATGTCACTTACAAAGTCATATTCGGTATCTCTTTTCCGCTACGTATCAAATTTAACCATTTTTGGCATATTATTTCATTTTATTATGACAAAAATATCGTATGGAGAGAAAAAACTTTATGATCTTTAAGTCATATTCAGTATCTTCTGTCCGCAACATATATGCTTTCATAGAAAACGCAACGAATATAACATATAACTTTTTTATTTATTGACAAAAATTAAAATATTTTTTGCATTTAACATTTTATTATTATAAACCATTGTATCGAGAAAAAAAATAATAAAATAATCAATTTATTAAATATAAGTCATATTCGGTATCTTCTGTCCGCGCAACATATATGCTTTCATAGAAAACGCAACGAAATATAACATATATATAACTTTTTATTTATTGACAAAAATTAACGATATTTTTGCATTTAACATTTTATTATTATAAACCATTGTTATCGAGAAAAATAAATATATAAAAATAATCAATTTTTTAAATATAAGTCATATTCGGTATCTTCTGTCCGCAAATATATGCTTTCATAGAAAAATTCGCAACGAATATAACATATAACTTTTTTATTTATTGACAAAAATTAACGATATTTTGCATTTAACATTTTATTATTATAAACCATTGTATCGAGAAAAATGAATAATAAAAGTATCAATTTATTAAATATAAGTCATATTCGGTATCTCCTGTCCGCCACGGACATGACTTTTATAGAAAACGCAACGAATATAACTTATAACTTTTTCACTTATTGACCAAATTTAACGATATTTTGCATGTAAAATCATTTTATTATTATAAACCATCATATCTTGAAAAATAAATAATAAAATAATCAATTTATAAAATTCAAGTCATATTCGGTATCTTCTGTCCGCAACGGATATGACTTTGATAGAAAACGCAACAAGTATAACTTATAACTTTTTCACTTATTGACCAAATTTAACGAAATTTTGCATGTAAAAACATCATATTATTATTAACTATAGTATCGAGAGAGAAAAAAAATCAATTCATAAAAAAATAAGTCGTATTCCGTATCTTCTGTCCGCAACGGTTATGACTTTTATAGAACGTAATTCGAAATATAACTTTATAACTTTTTTTATTTATTGGCCAAATTTTAACGATATTTTGCATGTAAAATCATTTTATTATTATTAAACATCGTATCAAGAAAAATAATAATAAAATAATCAATTTATAAAAAATAAGTCGTATTCGGTATCTTCTGTCCGCAACGGATATGCCTTTTATAGAAAACGCAATGAATATAACTTATAACTTTTTTATTTATGGACCAAATTTAACGAAATTTTGCATGTAAATTTATTTTATTATTTTAATACATCGTATTAAGAAAAAAAAATATAAAAAATAATTACTTTGTAAAATATAGGTCATATTCGGTATCTTCTGTCCTTCACGATTATGACTGTTATAGAAAACGCAACGAATATAACTTATAACTTTTTTATTTATGGACCAAATTTAACGATATTTTGCATGTAAAATAATTATATAATTATAAAACATCGTATCGAGAAATAATCATAAAAAAATTAATCAATTTATAAAAAATAAGTCATATTCGGTATCTTCTGTCCGCAACGGTTATGACTTTTATAGAACGTAATTCGAATATAACTTATAACTTTTTTATTTATGGACCAAATTTAACGCAATTTTGCATGTGAATTCATTTTATTATTATAAAACATAGTATCAAGAAAAATTTATAAAAAAATAATTACTTTGTAAAATATAGGTCATATTCGCTAAATATGAGTGATATCCGCGGATATCACTCATATTTGGTATTAAGACATACCGCATGATCTTAAATTATCTAAAAGTCAACTTCCGGTAGTCGGTCTAGAATCTTATAATTGATGGTATCCGGAATCCGGTCTTCGAAAGTCGTGATCGTCCACGCTGATTCCTAATTTGATCAGAACTCGGACTTTGTTTGCCAAATAAAGTCGTGGTCAGAGGTATATATTCTATATGTATATAACGCTTCTCAGGATAATTTGATTGGCATTTCTACCGTTTTTAATTGTCCAATTTATTATCGGCCATTGCGGGCATATATCAAAAAGCAACACTCATTATACCGTGCTCCTATTAGTTCATGGTACTAAACGCTTTGAAGCAAGAAAGAACACAACACATAAAACTTACGGTACAAAAAGTGTCATAAGTGGAAATACATAGGTATTTTCTGCTGTACGACACAAGGAAACAACAACATCTTTAGTCAAAATCAGTTTGAATGAGCCAGACGTAGACCATATGTCGGCCATTTTGAAAACAGTATGTCATCATTTAAATCGCGGTAATGGTGTTTTATTTCTGGTTCTTTTTCATGTTTCAGTTAAAAATATGTTATTTTGCATAATTTTAAATGTTAAAAGTATCTTAACATTGTAACTCAAAATTTATTTTTTCAACAAACAAAAACATTTAGAAAATGATGATTGTTTCAGACTTATGCGCAAATTTAAGCTATTGTTGCTTTTTGCAGAAGTTTATAAAATGTTGTTCTGTTTTGGCACAAAAACTTTGTTGTTTAGGTGTATGAATAAAGTATGTCAATTCTGACCAATTTTAACACTGGTCACTTTAAATATGCCATTACCGTGAAATAAGTGATGACGCGGAATTAGTGATGTTGAGTAACACTTTGTTCTGCAGCTCTCATTTTGTGTAACTCGTAGGGTTAATATAATTAAATACTGGGTAAACATATTACATCAAGATGAGTCATTACTTCAGAAAAAATGTTTACATTATGTTGAAAACTAATTGCGAGCTGGGTAATGCTTACGAGGGTAACTGGGCGTTTCATGTGCAAGAACATGGGTTTCTCTCTGTGTGGTTGCAACAATCCGATATACACACACAAATACCTTTTTTAGAAATTAAACAACGAATAATCGATAATTTACTCCACAGATGGTATTCAGAGGTGGTTTATTCTAAACTTTTAGAATCATATAGTTTGTTCAAACATGCTTTCGAAAGAGAACGGTATTTGGAAGGTATAATTACTGACCAAAGGTTTAAAAATGCTTTAGCCCGCATCAGAACCTCCTCTTATAGACTAAATATAGAAATCGGAAGATATAACAATGTGCTGCGATATCAAAGGGTCTGTTTATCATGCAACATGAGCATATTGGAGAACGAATATCATTTTCTGTTAGTTTGCCCAAATACAGAGAACTAAGGCGTAAATACTTGAAGAAATATTATTGTCATTGGCCTACGATATCGGAATTTAGAAATCTTAATAATTAAAGTCTTCTACATCAAATGCAACTTTTATAGATTTGTCGAAATTCACACATTTTGCAACAAAACTACGTACGTGTCTCCTAATCATAATTATATTTATATGAGTTCTTTTATTTAATTAAACAAAGATATATACATTTATATACATCATTTTACTTTATAGTTATTTTTTTAAACTTCATACAACGTCACCTTTTAGTGTTGTAAATATTTATGTTATCACATAAAATCTTATTTCGTAAAATGTTTAGGAAATAACTTACTTTATATGTACTCGTATTTGTCTTTACAGTACTCTTCTGTAAATTATATAAACATGCATGTCTTTCCATTATCACTGAACTGGTTATTTTCTATGGCTATAAACTTCTTATTTGTTTTATGCCAATAAAATTATTTGAGTGATTTGAGTTATTACTAAAACATGTTGAACTTGTACTAAAATCATAAGAGTGGATCGAGTTTGTTAAATTAAGTCATTTGACGCGTAGTTTTTCTTGAAACTTTCCAACGTCTTGAAAACGAGGTTATGTAATGCATGTATACATGTTTAACAAACGACTTAAATTGTCAAAAAGAAATAAGAAATTGCATTACATCTACACTGTTGCAATAAATAACTCTTAATAAATATTCTCGGACTTGCAAGAGCTTTAAATCCTAGTCTTTTTTTTTAATTCTAAATGCCTTGTGATGCAATTATAGGATCACATTTTAAATAAAATGCAAGTATCTTTGGAACTTCAGAATTAACTTTTTTTTGCATAATCAGGACTTTTTCACAGAAAGAAGAAGGGGTCCTCCAATAACATTTGGGAGAAAATAACTATTCTATTCTATTCTATTCTATTCTCAATAATAACTCCTATCCGAAGTTCGGCGGAAAGGGCCGAGAAGATGCAATTGGTAGATCTAATTAGGGGCTCTTTTCTGAGAATATTTCACTCAGTATCACGCAGAAGCTTTGATCTGTCTTTACACTAATGACCACTGATTTTATCTTTACCACGTTATGAACAGCAAATAGCCTTAAATTAAGTCATTCTGAGTTTTGGCCGAGTTTTACAACAGAAAACTCAGCAGGGGATCCCGGCTCAAACTCAGAAGGATTTAGTGACTTTCATTTATTCTAAGTCAGTTTGAGCTGCCTTTTTCAATATGTATATATTGATGCAAATATTCAACACGCACTTAATCGAGCAATAGACTATAGTTGAATTACATAAAACATGTATAATTTATAAGAAAGCAACACAACTAGACCATTTCCTGAGCGTAACATCGCCCAGTTTAACAACTGATAGAATGTTATATACTCTTAATTATATATAATTATGTTTCTTATTTTCGCACAAGGCTCGAATATATATGCGTCATCAACATGCGCCTTTACGAAAATTCACTTATGGTGGAAGGCGTAAATTCATATATTATTGGACGAAGAAAGCTGTCAACTGATTTGTAATTTTTAAAAACTATAGCTAAATTAATCAAGCTCGGTTCGTGTATAACAATATTTTTGAAGATATTGCATGCGATCTTAAAATAACATATTATAATTTAAGCTGAACAAGGTAATACAAAATGGTGGTCGTCTTCAATTTTGTTATACCGACATAGCTGATTATACAGGGGCTCAATTTTTGCACAGAACAAAAAAAAAGAAAAGGAATATAGCTAGAGTATCCAAGGCGTTTGAATGTCCGAAATAACTTTGAAAATTTATAACAACAATAATTCTAAAAGCGCGAATGTTACACCCGAGGCAATATATGCTAGGTTGAGACTTATTTACTCCTGTAGTCACAGAGTGGTACAATGATGATGTTTGATTCTGCCACGCCTTTAAAGTAATTAAAGCCGTGAAGATACCCTCTAAACTGGCAAACAATATATTGAAAGCTTATTCTTGAGACTTATTTACTCAGAACCTCACAGATACTTGACTTGAATCTGCCTCCACACTAGAATAGATTTAAAACAAAAAATATTTTCGATCACAGGCTTTAACATATGCACATAATGATCACATAATATATGGTATTAGTTATAAGTACGTGCATGTTATTTTATGCAAATCATTGTAATTTGGTAGTAATTAATACAAAGCCATTTTTCATTAAACTGTTTAATGATATTTTATACGATTAGAAAATCTTGTAAACTCATATTTTATATATTAAAAGATAAAATTTCAAAACTTTTCTCTTCTTTTTTTCTTAATTTGGTAGTAGAAAACTATTAAAATACAGTTGAAAAATAGCCGAGTTTTATTTCCAAAAGCAAAAAAAGAAATGAAAATCCGCTTATTTATATTTCCAAAATATGAATTTAAAGGTTAATAACAAATTAATATAACAGCTTTATTGGATAAAAAATGAAACTCTTACTTGTTCAAATTCTACTGGTGATTTAGTAAATTACAGTCTGCCGGTTTGGGTTTGCCTACTGATACCTATGTGCAATAACGCGGTCGGCTTTTTTATGAGCCACTTCAAAAATTTCAAAGAACTACTTTCTAGACTACGGGTTGGGTCTAATTCTGTACCGGGTTGAGACCTAAATGAATCCAAAATTCAAGTTAAGCCAAATTTATATTCATTTCCTAGTAATTTAGTGTTATATAAGTACAATCATATAGGTTTGACATGTCTGTAACAAATTACATTAATGCAGTACAATTTCTTAAATATGAACCTTCATGCGAAAAATCAGGCTTGGCCAATAGAATTTTACGCACAAATTTAATATTATTAATATATATTACAAATTCTGTCATATCTTTGGATTCTGTCAATGTATTTTCTTCAAATAAAGTTTAATGTTACCGGCTCATGTCATTTAGTTATTTTTATGAAAGAATAAGACCTTATTGCTTTAAAATTGTAATAGAAACTCCATTTCTTTTAATAAGAGCATGAAATTTTGGGTTAAAATACAAGTAATCACTATCAAATGTGCTTTTGTCATAACTTTTTCTTTCAATATTGTAATAAAACTTACTGATTATGATTTTTACCTATATAGCATGGTAAATAAAGTAAAGTACCAACATATATAGCCTACATTGTTTGCTTAAGATATCTATAAAGACAAACAGAGGTGATCTTAAGGTTAACAAAGAGGATATCATATATCACCAGGGGCTATGTCTTCTGACAAAGTAAGATTAGCTAACTCTCACATAAATAAGGCTTAAAAGAGGGCACATACCGTCTCTTTTACTTTAAATCATTGAGAAGTCTTAATATAGTCAGAATTAGAGAAATTTTCTCTTGATAAACATCAGAATATCTATTAAATATTGCCCGAGCATAGGGAGTCGTTACCGTCAATAGCTGAAGTTTCAAACTAGACATAAGTTATTACCTTCTCAACGTGTCCTGACAAAGCTGCTGCCAAACTGAGCTGAAGGAGTTCTTCCGTGTATCTTTACCAGGATAAGATAAGGTCCTGTACTCAAACCCAGGCTTGGGTAACGGCATGGTATGAAAAAATATGCAACACTAGAAAATGTCGAAGAAAATTTTAACAGGCATTTATGCTGTAATTCTGATATCTAAAAAAGAAAGAAAAAAATATCTTAATTTATCAATGGCTTGATTTGCTAATTCACACAGGAGGGCTTATATAAAATATTGTGTGCTTAAAAATGCATGTCTGTATGAAAATGGCAGAACTTTAAGACATTATAAACCTAACCTAATTGAACTGCTGTAGCAGCTACAACGACAACAACAGCAATCACATCAACTGTGTTAATCTAAATGAGCCAATTATCCATAAAGTACACTGTTTAACGACTATACAATCTTTTATGTGAATATATTAGCAAATATATTCTGCAACACAGCACAACATCAAATTTCACTACACTGAAAATGCCTATATTTCCAACATGTAAATCACATTTGTCCTGTTCAAATGTCAGTTCTGCTTCATTGAAATACATGACAACAGTGAATATTTACATGCTGATTACTACAGCATCAACCCTTTGCTGAAACATCAGTGTGTTCCATATGAGCAATAGGCTACGATGGTGCTTGTTCGAATCCCATGACCGGTGCTTCTTGGGCCCCTAAGATCTCTGGAATGAGCTTGCCAATCACTTTTTTATCAGTGTAACCAATCTGAAACCACACACTTCCAAATTCCTTGCAATGCATGGTTTATCCATAATTTAAGATGCATGTCTCAAAAAATTATCATTTTCTATGTAAATCTTAAAAAATAAGCTATATAGACCTTTTTACAATACGATTTTTCCATAGTAACCGATGTTGCATTTCGCGCATGCGCATTCTGCGTAGGGCAAAAGCGCAGTAAAATTGAGAACAGTGTATGATACTTTAAGGCTTTTATAGTCGTGATTCCATGTTATGTCAACCAGAAAACAGTAATTTTGGGATGACTTAAAGCGGTAAGTACTTAAAACGTTAATTGATATTTATAACAGAAATAATAAATATGCGGGACTAATAATCCAATGGTCAAAAGGCGCACACAAAAGTCATCTGTTATTAAAATTTAAACAGCAGCGTGTTAAAGATTAAATTTTATTACCCATGTATTACATAATATTACACAATGTGTATTTTACACTTCCTTTTGGATTGGCCAGGCGGTAAGTGTCAAACAGATTTACACACGACGCGTTTGTTTGTTTCCAGCTATAATATCATTCAACCGGAACGTTTCAGTACCATGACATAGTTAATCACGTACAATTATGAAAATCGTAATTTAAGTAACTTTTATATATACCGATCTCATCAACGTTTATTGATTTTGAGAAGTGCATTAAAATATTAGCAGGTGTTACGACAGGATAAAATGTGTATTATTTCACTTTCCTTAAAGATTTTGAAAAAAAAATAACTATTTAAAATATAATTATGTGACTTAAAAATTATCTGCTTTGCATCATAGTCAAATAAAGGATAAAATCAGGTAAACTGAACACTAAAAATGCATTATAACCGTGTCTGTTCTGACTTTTTTTCAGAATGATAACTATATAACCTCGATTTCATATGTTATAAAATTTCTTTTATCTTTTTATAAACTATTTCAACAACAATTTAGTTGACTCCCATTTGAATAATAGATATCATTCCACATTTTCAAAATATCTTTATGTCATGTCCGTGACCGTAAGTGGAAATTCTTAAACAATTTCCTTTTCTATGCCTTTGTATCGCAATATTGGCCACCAAGCTATAAAGGAATCTTTTCTATCTTTATTAAAAGCTAATTTATATAATTTTCTACCTTTTACCTTAAACTAACTCTCGGAATTGTCTATGAGCTTCTTCTATATTTCTATATTATTCTATGCGCTTTTTGCCCTACGCAGATTGCGCATGCGCAGGAAAATACTACTTCCGATCGATTTTTCATTGCAATGGATTTTATTTTAAAATTTTAGATTTATTTTACAGTTTGAATTCAATAAAATGTGGTTAATCTTTCATGCAAAAGCTCTGTACCCTTCTCTCTGCTTACTGACACAGTAGCAGACATCGGCATTTGGAGGGGAGATAACAATAACAACATCTGTCCCAATTTAAAATGTCAAAATTTAAAATTTGAAATAAAATTTTAACATTTCAAACCTGTCAGTTATCCTTTATTTTCCTTATTTCTATTCATAAACACAACGCTGATGCAAGTTTCATCATATCCATCAACCAGTTCACATTTTTCTCATTTCTTATCTTGGACTGAATTTTCGTATTCTTTGTTCTATAGTAAATCAGTCACATTTGAGGCTTAATTCTGGATTCCACTGTTCTTGATGAATTAATATTTAATGTCTCCAACTTCTAAGTCCAATGAGGCCCAAAATATGATAGGTGAGGCATCTACTTTTTTCAGAAATCTTCATTCTGTTGTAACACTGTTTAAATTCACCACTTTAAAAACTCCTGAATGCTGGTGGGAAGTACATCTTTAATCATTCCGCCAACAAATCAGTTCCTGGAGAATATACAAAAAACAACTTTTAACAACTACTGCACACATGCAATAAAAATACTTTAATTATGACCAATCTAACTAAAGATGACTTAAATTGGGCCACTTCAAAATTTTAAAGAACTACTTTCTAGACTACAACGGATTGGGTCTATTTCCGTACCAGGTTGAGACCATTCGCCGGTCTCTCGTAAATTTCGGTCAAAATAGACCGGGAGAGACCGGAGACCGGAAGCGACCGGACCGGAGAATAGTACATCCCGGGTTGAACTGGTTTTAGCTATGATTTTAGATTCCGCAACAACAACAACAACAATTTATCTTTAATCAGCCAATTTCGCTTTTAAATAAGTAGAATGGATGAAATTGACGAGACAGGCGAATATATATCAAATAAGACTATACATGATCTACCAGAAGAAATATTAGAATTCATCTTGATGAAGGTGTCTCCATACAGAGACTTGAAATCAGCAAGTTTAGTCTGTACTGCCTGGAACAAACTTATTAAAGGTGCATACATGTAGACTGTCTAAAATGATTATTGCTTTTACTATTGTAAGTTGTGTTTAATTTTGTGTTATACAGGACTAGTGTAACTGTATAGAACCACATATATATATAAACAACGGATAGGAAACTCTGAAAAAAGATGAGAGTCCAATTCAGACCCACAATCCTTTGCGCGCATCGGTGATAGTCTCTTCCTGCTAGTCTCCGATTTTCACTTTGGTGATATCCGTGAATTAGATGCTTACATTGCCGATATGGATGGAAAAGTGTGTTTTGCAGGGTTCCCTCTGGGTCAAAATTAGTTTGCGCCACCAAATTTGCCAATCAGAAAAAGTTGGAGCAAATGGCTCCAAAGTTGGAGCCAATAATTCTGCAAGGGAGACATGCCTATCTTTGCTAAGATATGCTAGCAGTTATATATCATTATGATTACAAACACATATTTATAATATTTCATTTTATTACAGCTGCACAGGTTTATTATCTTAAATATAGGCATACTATTATGTGGTTTTCAAATTCCATTTAAACAAATACATATGACGGCATAAATGTTATCAAAATCATCATGTTAAGTTAGTCATGGGAGGTCCTGTTATCCACCATTTTGCCAGTATAGCAGTTCTTCTCACAGGCTGGACTGAGCCAAGATCTTTCCCAGCCTCTACCCGACAATCTGGTGATCTACAGATACAAAATTAAAAAAACAAAACATTGCCATAAAAAAAATAATAGCCAAAAGTTGATTTTGACTTCAAAAAATCCCCATAGCAAAATTCAGCGGACTATACAGCAGAAAAATTAGCATTAAAACATCAATCCTAACAATTCACAGCAGGAATAGATACTAAATATTTTTAACAATGAAAAATATTGTTTATTTTAATAGGGTTTGCATGTGAATTGACACTTCAGCACTTTACATTCAGATATGAAAATATTAACATTGCAGTACTGTGACTTTAGATCAATCATTGGTGAAATTATTCTTTTAATTGTCATCCGATTTAATATTCAAACTGTAATTATTTTTAATCAGTTGACGAGTCAACTTACCGAAAGTTCAATGTTTGTCAACATCACGGACGATCTTTCACTTCTCTGTTCGCTACAAACACCTGTTGACCACACATGTCAGAGAATAAAAGACGTAAATTTTTCCATTTAACACATTGACACTTTCATCTTCACATGTTCCCGAAGTGTCACACAATTGATGACATAATTGATTATACGGTACCCGATTATACAGTTTGATAAACAAACTAATAGCGCGTGACCTTTCACATTTGGGCCGCTTATGTAATTGACGCGGCCGCTTGTGACATTTAAGTGTACTAGTTGTCGGATGCTTTTATCTTACGTTGGCGCCAGTTAAATTCGCCAATTAAAGATTTTATGCGCCAGAATTAATATATTGTCGCATTTGGCGCCATTGGCGAGCGACAGCGGGAACCCTGTTTTGTACGTTTAAGAATAAATAACTATTGCTTCTTATATTTATAAGTAAAAAATGTTTAGTCTTTTTTGTTAATGTACCTCTGGGAATTCAATATGGCGGTATTTTGGCTCTTTTACCCAGGATGCATCAAATCTCCCGACAAATGATAACTTATGGGAACACAATTCCGCCAATACTTATTTTAACTGAGTGACGTCACAGTCTCTTCTCCATCTTATATTTAGCTCCATCTTCTTCTTCCGGGTAATGTGCTGGGCCCCTCTGGAGCATCGTCGCACAATTGTGACTATTAACATGAGTGAAGGGAACATCAAGTGCAGCTAAGAACAGGTTAAAAACATGATAGAACTGTACATTAAACAGGCCTGTCATCATGATTTTGTGCTTTTGAGAAATGTTGTTAAAAAAAGGATCACTTTTTTGGCGCCGCCCCTATCAAAAAGGTACATCAAGGGGTTGCCAGAGGAGGAATGTGCCCCCTTTTGTTTGGGGTTTGAAGGGGCGACAGTCCCCGATGCAGGGCTCACACTGGCAGAAGTACAGGCCCGGACAGAATATCACAGGCCCAAAACATTTATTGTGCAAAATAAAGACAACAGTTCATTTAATGTTTTATTCACATCATTAAGGTTCAATTTATTCACGGAAAATCAGTCCTCATTTTCTGTTCTTGTAAAATATTATACTCAATATACTCTTCAATCTACTGCTTTCCACTTTATTTGTTCGAAACATGAAAATAAATATCAACAAAGAAAGCATTGCATTTGATGCACATATCCTCTAATTAAACACAACCAATCACTGGTTTCACTTCAGATGTTTAAATTAGTGCTTTATGTTTGTTGTTCACAAATCTAAATGGGTCAATCTAAGATAAATTTATTTTTCAACAGAAATTTAACATGACTTGTTCTTGATCCCGCGAAGATTTATGATTATACTTGAGCATTGTCCATATATTTACATTTACCAATAGCTGTAGATGATAATATAGATTATGCATATTTAAACTAATTTTATTTGAAAACACTTTCTGAATTCAAAGGCCCGTGGGGCTGACAATCTTTGGGTTTTTTTACAGGCCCGAATTGGATTTTACCAGCCTCGGGCATTGGGCCTGTGCCTTATTTCGCAGACTGCATAACTAGTTGGTAGTTGTTTCTCCAGTTATATTGTCACAGTCACAATCTTAATAGTGCATGTAAAATGTTGAAATTGAAAAGGCACATTATTAAATGTGAAAAGAGCAATAATTCTATAGATCTACATATTTATTTTAATCAAGTTATTTGATAAATTGAAAATAAGCACTAAAATATGATTGATAAAACTATTTGATACATTTAAGTTTTTTTTTTTTCAGTTGTTAAGAGGAAACTTCATCAAATATTTCTACAAAGTGTTTATACATCCAAAATTGACTGGTCATGCATTCAACCAGAACCTGTGGCACATATCACAGAACGCTATTCTCACAGTTGCTGCTACCATGATAAATCTCTGTACGTTTTTGGAGGCTGTACATCTACTAACACCACATTAAATGATCTATGGAGGTTTGATCTGTCAACTAGAGAATGGATAAGGCCCTTGGCAATGGGTAAGATAATGATATTATTGCTAGTATTACAGTCAAACCTAGGGGTGTTCACTTGTTATCAGATAGTAATTTTTTAAAAGAACATTCTTTGCAGGGGTTATGAAAATGATTTTGTTGTAAGTCAATTTATCTTAACTGAAGTAATGTCCAGGAAGTAGGAGGGGCTGAAGGAGTGGAGGGGGAAGGTTCGTAGTGGTCCTGCCCTTACAAACTATTTATGCTATCCATTTGTAAAGAATGATTATCCCAATATTCAGTACTAAATTTTGACTTATGCTTCATTTCCATACTCATTGTCTTTGTTTTATATATAATTTTGAGAAACAGTTAAAATCAATGTATAATTCTTTATTTTAAACACAGGGACATATCCCTATCCTAAAGCATGTGCCAGTTTGGTAGTATATAAAGATAACTTAGTTCTATTTGGAGGCTGGAGTCATCCTACACCATTCCCATTGCATCAGGTATGTATATGTATATTTCATTTAAAATTAATCCAATAGCCCCCTGGATTTCTAAATGGACTTGTCCAGCTTCCATCTTTTAAACTGTCTGTTCTTAATTTTAGGACATAAAGTTGAAAATTTAAAGTTAGTCAACAGGATAGAGCCTCTACAGCCTGCAAGGACATGCAGGTTGGCCTGGCTCTATACTAGCATTTTTAGTGTCACACTTAAGAGCCTGGTCAAACTGCACACTGGTGCATGCTGGCTAGCCGTGTGCTAATCACTTCAATATTAGCGAGGTAGGTGTGAAGGTATACAGGTGAGTATTTTTCCTCCAACTTGTAAACATCATAGTCTCTTAAAGAAGAAATTTCTGCAGCTTAAACTGTCATGAATTGCATATAGGTGTAATTGTAAAGGTAAAGTCATTTATTATATACTTATAAATGAAATATTGAGAAATATTGATGAAATAAAATGCATATTTTCATTTTCCGTATTTTCACTGTAAAAATTTATTTTTCACTGCAGTGAAACATATTTTCCGTATTTTCACTGGTGTCTTGCCAGACTACTTTCTTTTAAATTCTGCCAGTACCAAAATTTATGGGAAAGTCTTTCAAATTTTATTGCAAAAAAAGAGAAAAATGTATATAATAAACAGAAAATTCAAGTTTTTTCTATAAATACATGATTTATTTTCATCTTGTGGCATGAAAATTACCATATTTCACTCGTGGCTACCGCCACTCATGAAATATTTATTTTCATACCACTCGATGAAAATAAATCATGTATTTATAGAAAAAACTTGAATATCCTCTATTTATGTGACGAAAATGGCATAAGTTATTTAACAGTAACAGTCCATTGTCAATTTTTATAGATATTTTAGTTTGCCAGCCAGCAGTTTAGAGCCTAATCATAATTATTATGACTCCTTCAGTTAAATCAATTGAGTAGTGCTTCAATTCTATGTAAAGTATTTTGATATCTACCAGCTGTGAGCAATCAGTTGTTGACCTATACTTTGATATAGTAAACAAAATGTTTTATAATATTGACTGATCTATGTTCACACCATAATGCTTTTAAATGGTCTTTTATCGGATCCAGGCAGCAAGATTTTTCTCAGAACTTCATATTTACAAACCATCAACAAACCGGTGGTCCCATGTAACAACATTATCACACCAGAGTCCTCAACCTATTGCCGGACATTCCGCATCAGTTATTGGTGATAGTATGGTGATATTTGGAGGATCACAGATTCCTGGTATAAGGTAGGTCATTTTTAGCTTGACTTTTTTTTTTTTTTTTTGAAGAAAAATAATAGAGGTATTGTGACAGTCATGTCAGTGTTCTGTTGATTATGCTGTCCCCAAAACTTTAACGATGATCCCAGCAATTTTTTCCCTAAAATTGTGAATGGGTCCAGTACCGTGACAATTGTGAAAAAAAAATCCAAATTGTTATTTTTGTAATTTAAAAGATCTACAAGGAATTACCCAAATGACCCTTTTTCAGATATTTCACAAAGAATTCACCACCCTTTGAGGGCATTTTTTGTCTGTTACACTGTAACGGACATGTTCCTTGTATTTATGTCAGATTTGTTTGCAATGTACAGCTTGATCAGAATATGTTCTTAAATTTGACCAGTTTGCTGAAAAATGTCTTTCATTATCTGGTAACTGTACAACTGAAAGACAAATCTAAATTCATTGAGCTTGAAAAAATTGTCCACAAAATTGAAATTATCAAAAAAACTGCCATAAAATTCCCATCAATTTGGGTTTTATCTAATAACCTTTTCGGACATTTACTTGATTAAACTTTTATAAAAAATGTGCAAATCAAATTGGAAGTAATTCAACTTTCAGTTAAGATGACGTTTTAATTTTAAACAATACATCAACACAAAGGACAAGTTGAGATTTTATTCACTTTAAGTGTCTTATATTAGAAAAAATCTGGAAAAAGACAAAATTGTAAGCTTAATTTTGTAGATTGTAAATTTTTGCAAAATTGTGAATGCGTCCAACAGGTGAAGGGCTTCCAAAGGTGTTCAAAGAATTTAATTCCAAGCAGAAATCTTGTTGTTATGGCAACCAAAAGGAATAAAAGAATATTTTTAAAACCTTCTACTCTAGAACCAAATTGCCTAGAGCAATGAAGTTTTGCTTATAATTATGTATATAGAAAGAAAAAAATCTATTAAAGTACAAGGGCTAGATCTTAGATATTTAGCATGAAACATTGTCTAATGAATCTCTATTAAGATTATTCAAATCATAATTTTGGGGCCAAAATTGGCATTTTCCCAGACCATTGATTTTCTTCAAATAATAGTTAAATACTTTAATTTAGTGAAAGGGAAACAACTCATATTGTAATGTCTTTCATACATGTGTACATGTTTATGCAAGTCTTTCTAAAAAAGATTTGATAGCTAGGGGTTTGTCTAGAGGTCATGACCTCTAGCAAGGGTCAGAAATATTTATGAATCATTTGAGGTAATGACCTCTAGCAAGCTTTGCAGGGATATTTATATAATGATTAAAGCACACATTATAAGGACATTATGATTCACGCCATGTATATTATGATGCAAATGTTTTTATGTTTTTAACAGTAGGTAATGCTTAATTGAAAATATGGTATTTAAGAAAATTAACTATATTTAATACACCTGTGTAAGACAGCACAATACTTTAATTTTTACTGAATATGAATACTTTTTTTTTGAATAAATTATTTAACTATGGCCTTTGTATGTGAACATTATACACATCTGCACATTTTCTGTCATTTGACATGCCAAAATATTACCTTGACCCCCAAATTAACAGTTTATGGCAAAGTTAAGTTATATAGACATCAAAAAAATATACTTCTGTTATATTAATGTGATAGCAAAGCATTTTTGCACAAAAGTAATCTTGTTTTTAGCTCACCTGTCACAAAGTGACAGGGTGAGCTTTTGTGATCGCTTTTCGTCCGTCGACCGTCCGTAAACTTTTACTTTAAATGACATCTCCTCATAAACCACTAAGACAATTTCATCCAAACTTCACAGGAATGTTCCTTTGGTGGTCACCTTTAAAAATTGTTCAAAGAATTTAATTCCATGCAGAACTCTGGTTGCCATGGCAACCAAAAGAAAAAACTTTAAATATCTTCTTCTAAAAAACCCAAAGAGCTAGAGCTTAGATATTTGGCATGAAACATCTTCTAGTGAGTGTCTACCAAGTTTATTCAAATAAAAGCCCTGGGGTCAAAATTGGCCCAACCCCAGGGGGTCATTGATTTTCCCTATATGCATATAGTAAAAAATTAAAAAATCTTCTCTTAAAGAACCCAAAGAGCTAGAGCTAAGATATTTGGCATGAAACATCTTCTAATGAGTGTCTACCAAGTTTGTTCAAATAAAAGCCCTGGGGTCAAAATTGGCCCCGCCCCAGGGGGTCATTGATTTTCCCTATATGCATATAGTAAAAACTTAAGGAAAGGAGATCATTGTTTTTCATTATATGTGTGTAGTAAAAACTTAACATCATGAAACATCTTCTAATTGGTGTCTTCCAAGTTTGTTCAAATAAAAGCCCTGTGGTTTAAACTGGCCCCGCTCCTGGGGGCCTATATACAGGTGAGCGACCTCAGGGCCATCATGGCCCTCTTGTTTGTCAGTAATTCCCCCTATTTGATTTTGAATTTCTTGATTAAGGTTTTGTTTAGGTACATTTTACAAAAAGTAATAGTATCAAAGATATTAACTTAAAACTTTATTCCGTTCTTTGTTATATTTCAGTCTCAATTATACTCCGTTCTTAGTTATAATATATATTTCATTCTGAGTTATATTTGGTTCTTTTTTATATTCAATTCTTAGTTATATTCCCTTTTTATTTATATATATATTCCTTTCTCAGTTATATTCCATTCTTTGATATATTCCATTCTTAGTTATATTCAATTCTTAGTTATACATGTATATATATTCCTTTCTTAGTTTTGTTTATTCCGGTTTCAGTTATATTACGTTCTTAGTTATATATATTCCTTTCTTAGTTATAGACCATTCATTGATATATTCCATTTTTATACCCCCGCACAACAATGTTGTAAGGGGGGTATACTGGAATCAGATTGTCCGTCCAGCCTTCTGGCGTCCGTCGGTTTTTTTCTTGTCCGCCCAATAACTTAAAAATCCTTTGACCCACAGTCTTCATATTTGGCATGGAGGTTATTCATGATTAGTAGATGGCCCCTGTTGATTTTGAGTTCACCAGGTCAAAGGTCAAGGTCACAGGGGCCTCGACTTCAAAAAGCTTGTCCGCCCAATAACTTAAGAATCCTTTGACCAACAGTCTTCATATTTGGCATGGAGGTTAAGTCATGATAAGTAGATGACCCCTATTGATTTTGAGGTCACCAGGTCAAAGGTCAAGGTCACAGGGGCCTTGACTTCAAAAAGCTTGTCCGCCTATTAACTTAAGAATCCTATGACCCACAGTCTTCATATTTGGCATGGAGGTTAGTCATGATTAGTACATGACCCCTATTGATTTTGAGGTCATTAGGTCAAAGGTCAAGGTCAAAGGGACCTTGACTAAAAAAAGCTTGTCAGCTCAATTGCTTAATAAGGCTATGGTCAACAGTCTTCATATTTGGTATTGAGGTTGTTTATGACTAGTAGATGACTTTTTTTATTTTTAGGTGACTGTGTCAAAGGTCAAGGTCACATGGATTTTACTATAATAAGCTTGCCTGCTCAAATGCTTAAGAATGCCTGTCCGCAGTGTATTGATTTTGACATTTTCACATTTGAAGCATGTAGAATACATAACTTAGCAACGCACTGGCTTAGTAACCTCAAATTTTGCAGGGAGGTTGTCCTTGGGCTCTAAATGGCCACTGTTGATTCTGACAAAGTGGTAGGTGGGGGTATTCACGCCATGACAGTGGCAGTTCTAGTTAGTTATGTTCCATTCTTAGTTGTTTATATATTCTTTTCTTAGTTTTATTCCATTCTTTGTTTTATTTGGTTTTAGTTCTACTTTGTTCTTAGTTATATACATGTATATTCCTTTCTTAGTTATATTCTGTGGTTTGATATATTCCAGTCTTAGTTTTCTCCCGTCTTAGTTATATTATATTCCTTTATTAATTATATTCCGTTTTTTAGCTCACCAGAGCCGAAGGGTGAGCTATTAGTATCAAAGGGGAATGCTCTGGCGTCTGTCGTCATGCGTCAACAATTGTCTTCTTCTCTGAAACTACTAAGCAGATTTACTTCAAATTTGGTCTGTAGCATCCTTGTGACAGTCACACTTAAATTTGCTCATGTCATTCCAATTGGCTCCTTTTAGGGGTCAGCAGAGCTAAAAATAGAAAAACTTTAAAACATCTTCTTCTACAAAGTAATTGATGGATGATCACCAAACTTTGTCTGTAGCATTCTTGGGTAGTCTTTTATCAAGTTTGCTCATATTAATTTGATTGGCCCCTTTTAACTTATATTTTGAATTTCAGAACAAATGAAGTGTGGTTGTTTGATTTTAATGAGCAAGTTTGGAAAATGCCGAAGATAGGGTATAGGAGGCCAATGCCTAGATACGGACAGACGCAGGTTTGTTCACTAATTTTTTAATTCAATTTTCTAAAATCTTTCTAAAAGCAATTTAATTTCTTTAAGAAAGATTTTAGGAAAATAATATATCATTTTATAGTAGTTTGGTGTTAGCACCAGTGATATTTGTAGATAACCTTAAAAGTGGCAACTGTTTGAAATTTTTATTGCAAATCAAGATCAACAAATAGTAAATACAGAAGACAGCCAAACAAGAAAATTAATGTGATCTGAAACATCTGCTTAAAAAAACACTGCCACACCCTAAAAGAAAAAAATGAATAAATAGATTTAGGAATACAAGCTTTGAAATAGAGAAAAAAAGAAACTGAGTTCTGGGTGTTTTTTTTTTAGTTTCTTTTTTTCTCTATTTCAAAGCTTGTATTCCTTAAAGGGACTCCACTGAGGTTTAAAAGCCTAAAACAATAACATTTGAATTTCTTACATAAATGAGCTGGGGCACTTTAAACAGAAATATAAGCACAGATAGTTAAAAAATATACTTTGAAATAAATTGACAAAGGTATTTTTATGCTTTTCTTAGCCCGATATGAGTGAAAAACGTTTAAACGCTTTTCATTTTGGGTCTTTTTTGTGTCGCCTTGAAAAGGTGACATATAGGGGTTACTTTTGTCGGCGGTGTCGGCGGCGTCTGTGTCGTTGTCGGCGTCGTTGTCGGCGTCCCCTAAAGCTTGTCCGGAGCATAACTCAGTCACTATAAGTCTGATTGACTTCAAACTTGGTATGCATGCTTCTTTCAATAACCCGAAGTGCAGTGCACAAGGACCGGTACCCTGCAGTTCTTATTTTTTGAGTTATTGCCCTTTGTTAATTTTCATACTTTAATTTTGTCCGGGCCATTTCTCTTCAACTAAAAAAGCTATGGACTTGAAACTTCATGGGATGATAGATCTCATTATTAAGAAGTGCAGTGCACAAGAATCGGTACTCTGCACTTCCTAAATTTTTGAGTTATTGCCCTTTGTTAATTTTCATACTTTATTTTTGTCCGGGCCATTTCTCCTAATGTATAAAAGCCATGGACTTGAAACTTCATAGGATGATAGGTCTCATTAAGAAGAAGTGCAGTGCACAAGAACTGGTACTCTGCATTTCTTATTTTTTGAGTTATTGCCCTTTGTTTATTTACATACTTTAATTTTGTCCGGGCCATTTCTACTTCAGTATAAAAGCTATGGACATGAAACTTCATAGGATGATAGATCTCATTATTAAGAAGTGCAGTGCACAAGAATCGGTACTCTGCATTTCTTAATTTTTGAGTTATAGCCCTTTGTTAATTTTCATACTTAATTTTTGTCCAGGCCATTTCTCCGAAAGTATAAAAGTTATGGACTTGAAACTTGATAGGATGATAGATCTTATTGATAAGAAGTGCAGTGTACAGAAACTGCTGCTCTGCACTTATTATTTTTTTAGTTATTGCCCTTTGTTAATTTTCATATTTCATTTTTGTCCTGGCCATTTCCCCTAAACTACATTGTTCACAAGGCGACACATCCGACTCGCGGAGTTCTAGTTTACAATTTGAATAATTATTTTGGACAAACGATGTGCGCGAATTATCTTATGGCACAAGTAAGACTGATGTGGCAATATAATAGATAAAAAGGAATGCCGTAAGAAAGCCCAAAACAACAAAAATTTATTTGAGCCTGTTCGTGGACGGTACTGAAAAGTGCATGTTACCAACCATGCTACCTAGTTTTGTTTAAGTGAAGAAATCTATTTATTTAAGTGCTTTTATGTTTATTCTTGTTGTTTATAACATTTTGTTAATTGAAAAATTTGAATAATTGTAAGGCAAATTTACTTCTTATTAAATGGCCTTTCATGTTGCACTTGGACCATTTCACAGCTATTGTAATCAATGAATGCGGGGTGTCCGTGGCCGAGTGGTTAAGGTCGTTGACTTCAAACCACCTGCCATCACCACTGTGGGTTTGAATCCTTCCAGGGACTTTGGATTCTTTCATGTGAGGAAGCTATCCAGCTAGTATACGGAACGACGGTGGCTCTACTCAGGTGCCCGTTCGTGCCTGAAATAATGCACGGAAGGGCACCTGAGGTCTTCCTCCACCAGTAAAGCTGGAACGTCGCCATAATGACCGAAACTGTGTTGGTGCAACGTAAAACCCAATCAAACAAACAAACAAAGTAATCCATGAATGCAACAATATACTATTTTGTCATTTAAATTATGCATATCAGAAGCTTTAAAAGAAAAGTCCAATCTAATCAGTTTTTGAGAAAAATCATTATTGTGTCTTATAAAATATTTAATTTATACAAATTTATTATACCCCCAAAAACAAAGTTTGGGGGGGTATATAGGAGTCACCCGGTGGTCGGTCGGTTGGTCGGTCGGTCCAGCTTTCCGTTGCATTTTCCTTGTCCGGAGCATAACTTGAAGACTAATGGTTGGAATTCAATATAACTTCATACAATGGTCAAGCACATTGAGAGGAAGTGCAGTGCACAAGAACCATAACTCCATCTTGACTAATTACAGAGTTATTGCCCTTTGTTACTTTTCCTTGTCCGGAGCATAACTTGAAAACTACTGGTTGAAACTCGAAACAACTTCATACAATTGTCAAGCACAATAAGGGGAAGTGCAGTGCACAAGAACCATAACTCTTTCTAAAGTAATAACAGAGTTATTGCCCTTTGTTATTTTTCCATTGCATTCTTTTGTTCGGACTATAACTTGAAGACTAATAGTTGGAATTCAATGTAACTTCATACAATGGTTAAGCACATTGAGAGGAAGTGCACTGTACAAGAACCATAACTCCATCTTGACTAATTACAGAGTTACTGCCCTTCGTTACTTTTCCTTGTCCGGAGCATAACTTGAAAACTACTGGTTGAAACTCGAAACAATTTCATACAATTGTCAAGCACAATAAGGGGAAGTGCTGTGCACAAGAACCATAACTCTATCTAAAGTAATTACAGAGTTATTGCCCTTTGTTATTTTTCCATTGCTTTCTTTTGTCCGGACTCAAACTGGAAGACTAATTGTTGGAATTCAATATAACTTCATACAATGGTCAAGCACATTGAGAGGAAGTGCAGTGCACGAGAACCATAACTCCATTTTGACTAATAACAGAGTTACTGCCCTTTGTTACTTTTCCATGTCCGGAGCATAACTTGAAAACTACTGGTTGGAATTCAAAACAACTTCATACAATGGCCAAGCACAATAAGGGGAAGTGCAGTGCACAAGAACCATAACTCCATTTTGACTAATTATAGAGTTGTTGCCCTTTGTTACTTTTCGATTGCTTTTTTTTGTCCGGAGCATAACTAAAAGACTACTAGTTGGAATTCAATATAACTTCATACAATGGTCAAGCTCATTGAGAGGAAGTGCAGTGCATGAGAACCATGACTCCATCTTGACTAATGACAGAGTTATTGCCCTTTGTTACTTTTCTTTGTCTGGAGCATAACTTGAAAACTACTGGTTGGAATTCAATACAACTTCATGCAGTTGCAAGCACATTAAGAGGAAATGCAGTGCACAAGAATTATAACTCCATTTTGACAAATTATAGAGTTGTTGCCCTTTGATACTTTTCCTTGTCTGGAGCATAACTTAAAACATACTGGTTGGAATTTAAAACAACTTCATACAATGGTCAAGCACAATAAGAGAAAGTGCAGTGCACAAGAACCATAACTCCATTTTGACTAATTACAGAGTTACTGCCCTTTGTTACTTTTCCTTGTCCAGAGCATAACTTGAAAACTGCTAGTTGGAATTCAAAACTATTTCATACTATGGTCAAGTATAGTGAGAGGAAGTGCAGTGCACAGAAAGCATAACTCTTTTTTGACTAATTTAAAAGTTTTTGCCCTTTGTTCCTTTTTATTGTCCAGTGCATAACTTGAAAATTAATGGTTGGAATTCAATGAAACTTTATACAATGGTCAAGGCAAGTGAGATGAAGTGCAGTGCACAAGAACAATAATTCTATTTGGACTGATTACAGTTATTGCTTTTGTTACTTTTTTGTCCAGTGCATAACTTGAAAACTAGTAGTTGGAATTCAATACAACTTCATACAATGCTCAAGCGCAATGAGAGGAAGTGCAGTGTACAATAGCCATAACTTAATCTTCAGTATTTATAGAGTTATTGCCCTTTGTACCTTTTCCTTGTCTTTCTGGACTTCTTACAGAGTAATCCAATAAAACTTCATCAATGGCCAACCACATTGAAAGGAAATGCTACATACAAGAACCACAACTATCTTTAATTGCCCACAACCATAACTCTGTTTCAATTCTTTACAAGGTATTCTGTTACTAGTAACATCCTCATTTCCGAAGCTGTCTTGCGGGGGGTATTAATCACATTTAGTGATAGTTCTAGTTTTAGTTTGATTGTATTGGAAGCTATAAGCTTATTGAAATACTCTCGATTCCGTTCCTCGAACCAACCAGTACTAAGCAATGACTGTAAAGTTTTTGCTCGAGGGAATAACGGCTTTCCCCTGACAAGGTTTAAACCCACATGGTCAGCAATCCTTAGATTACTAGTCTATGCGTTAACTACTTGGCCACACTGCCACTTTATTAAATATTTGACATACCTTATAAGTACTTTTTTCTGCGGGAACTTTATTTCTGCTATTTCTGCGGTTCATAACAACACCGCAGATTTAAAAACTGCAGTAAATTAAGCCTTTCCTTTTGTATATGTCAAAATATATCAACTACCAGGATAGTATAAATACAATACCATGTGTAGTTATCCACTTTTGTAGATAAATTTTTTTCTTTATGTATCTGCCATGAACAAAATATTAGAAAAAAAACTTACTTTGCTTGTTCTTTTAGTTCAAATAAATAATCATCATGTTTGTATAATTTTCACTCACCCCAAGCTTGATGGGTCTTTTTTGTGAACAGTTTTAAAAAAAACAACTATTATTATAGTTTTGATGCAAAAATGACCCTTGTTTGTTATTTTCATTAAAACCTGCTATAAACATACCTTTTATGTATTTGTACAATATATTAAGTTGACGTGCGAGTTTGCCATTGTTTATTTTCACACTTCATATTTATACAATTACAGTATTAAAATTTGTCATTGCATGTTATTTTCTTGTTTGTTTTTAACATGCATATACCGATACATATTGATAACGACGAAACGCATTATCAGTCGTGGAAGTAATGTAATATCATCAAATCTTGAAATGTTGTCTTTTTTATCGGTTAATTTTGTACAAATATCTTAGTTAAAATGCAGAAATAAAACTCATCAATGCGAGAATGATGACTGTGACCGCAGAAATAAAATACGCAGAAATTTAAAACTTCTTATTTTAACAAAAATCGCAGAATATTAAGCCCGCAGAAATAAGTACTTATATGGTACATTAGTTCTACTGTTTCTTAGAAATACTATTGTTCTAGCTTGTATTTGTTTCCTGTGTGCACCAATCCTTTGTCTGTCCAAAACATAAACTATTGGCATGAAGGATATTTCACTGATAAAATACAATAGTGTTGTGCAAAATAGCTACTGGGGCAGGTGGGCCAGAATGTAAATAAAGGGAGCTTCGCTTGACCTGTATTCCATCAAGAAAATTGCTCTACTAGGAGATACTGAAAAGTACTTATCTGTTTCTTGTAAATTATGAAATCGCAGTCATTTGGTACTTTCAATACTTTGATTTTTTTTACTAGGTAACATTGGATGACAGTCATATTCTGATAGTTGGAGGATGTGGAGGTGGCATACCTAATCAGGTGTTTATTTATTTATTCATATCTGCATATTACAATGACTAGGTCGGATTACTTCAGATACCCCCCTCCCCCCCCACACTGCTATGAGTTTGAATCTCATTTTTAGCTCACCTGTCATAAAGTGACATGAGCATTTGTGATCGCTTTTACTTTAAATGACATCTCCTTATAAACCGCTAAGCCATTTTCATCCAAACTTCACAGCTGTGACTGTTCCTTTGGATGTCACCTTTGAAAATAATTCAAAGAATTGAATTCCATGCGGAACTCTGGTTGCCATGGCAATCAAAAGAAAAAACTTAAAAATCTTCTTTTATAAAATCCAAAGAGCTAGAGCTTAGATATTTAGCATGAAACATTTTCTAGTGAGTGTCTACCAAGTTTGTTTAAATAAAAACCCTGGGGTCAAAATTGGCCCCACCCCGGTGGTCATTGACTTTCCTTATACATATAATTATGTATATATTAAAAACTAATGTTTTTATACATGCACTATTTCAGATACAAATATGAACTTTTTGATATCAGTTTAAGATTTAAGATTTTATATCTGCTTTTGTTTATAGTTTACACTATTACTTGCTCTTTTTCATGGAGTGTTTTTATATAAGTGATTTCAGGGCCATCTTGGCCATCTTGTTGGTTTGGGATTCTGTGTGTGAGTGAGCTGCTTACAGAAGATCAGTGGTTCTACTCGGTGCCAATTTGTCCCTAAATAATGCAAAAATTGGGCTACAGAGGTCTTCCTCCACCAGTAAGGCTGGAAAGTCACCATATGAGATATGACCTTTACAGTGTTGGGGAGACTTAAAATCCAACAGAACAAACTTCACAATTCCAGACATAAGGGAACACCAACTTAAGCAGTTGATTCATATTTACTTCCCAAAGTCACATGTTTGCCTCTCTGACAGGTGACTAGTTGGCTCTTCAAAAAAAATCTGTCAATCTTTGATGTTTACAAACATGTAGTCCCTGGGGTTTAATCTGAATCATTAAAGAAATGCTAAAACTCAATTGATTCCACTCATTTTTTATAGATCAGGAAAAAAAATATGTTATTATTTTTGTCAAGAAATGATTACACATATTTCATTATTGCTCAAGAGGAAAAATGTTTTTGTTTGATAATTATGTCAATTATAAACATATTAATTTAATCATAAGTGAATTTTGATTGTGAGAAAATGCTTTTTTAGTCTGCTTTGTGTTTAACAAAATAGAAAATAGAGGTATAATTACTTTTAAACGGGCATTGTTTGGATTAACATTTTCTTACATAAGATATAACCAGGCTGGAGTGTGATTAAATTTTTTGTTGTTGTTTTCTTTGACAATTTTTTTTATGCATTTGGAATTCAAACTATCAATTTTTAATACAGGGTCAAATGCCCACACCTTCAAAAATTTTAAGGGGGTAAATGTCTGCCCTTTTGAAACATAATTATGAGGGAGCAAATGTCCGCCATCGAAAAAAAAAACGGGACAAAAGTCTGAGTGTGCAGGAGCAAATGTCCTAGAATCTTTAATTTTTTTATGAGGTCAAGCTTTAGTAGTTGGCGATGGTCGAATGTCTAGGACAGTTGCCCGCTCAGACTGTGTCCCAACATTAATCGACATTTACAAAATCTGTTTATTCTAGTAGCAAAAATATTAATGCAGCAAAATTTTCTTTAAAAGTGATACTTTATATACAATAATAATTCTGACAGTAATTTTTTCCAGGTTTACAATGATTGTTGGTTGTTGACTGTAGGGGAAGATGAGTGGAGGTGGGATTTAATTATTGTAGAAAACCCCCAGTGGGCTGCTCCCCAGCTTTGGTGTAACAGTGCTTGCAAGGTAAATCTATGGAGATTCAACTAATTGCTCTTCTAACATAATAAATTATGTTTTGTAGTTTTATGTATATTGAATGTACAGTTATTGTTCATAAAAATGGCTAATTAGCTCAGCCAAAGGCTTACTGATTTATTGGGCTTTTTATGAATGATAGGGTTCTGTTGTCAGACATCCACAATTTGTATGAAAACAAATTTTAGTACCCACCTGTGATCGCATAATTTTTGTCATTAGTCATGTGTTAAGTCTTGTGGTCCACAATGTTGTAAGACAACATCTAGAACCATATGGTAGATTTTGACAAACTTTTCAGGAATGATCTATAGGTGGCTTTTAAAAGTTATTTGAATGGTTTCAGTTTAATGCCCAAGGGGTCAAAATTTGCCTCTGCCTGGGTGTCACTTATATAAGAAAACACATTTTAGTCTTCTTGTCTGACACAGACTTCAATACCTAGAGCTTAGATATTTGGCTTGTAGCATCACCTTGTTGTCCTCTACTAAAAGTCATAGAAATCATGCCCCAGGTATTAAAATTGTCTCACAGGTTACATAGACAGTTATGTAGTTATATAGACAGTTATATAGACATACCAGTTATGTCAATCAGTCAAATGTTAAAAATATTTTTGAATGTTATAACCATTTTGATAAATAACATAATGATTTTGACAGTTTAAGTTTGATATGTTTTAGGTAGATAACATGATTGTTACGTTGAGCAAAGCCGCTAAGCCACCACCAAGAACTGTTCCAGTGAGTCCAAGGACATACAAACCAGTGGGTAAAATATGGGTGCCTCCTAGAGAAAATGTAGTTGACACAAACACAATGCCAACCAATCACAGTGAAGAATATGCATCCAATGCAACAATGTCAACAAATCAGAGCCAACCATCTGAATCACCTGATTTCATGCAGGCCAATCAGAGTCATACATCTGGAATAGAAACAACCAATCAAAGGGCACATAATGCTGTACCAGCCAATCAGAATGGAAAAAATTGTGGTTTTGAAAAAGTTGACCAATCTAGTTTGTCAGCTCATAGTGCAAGTCATCAACCAGATTTTAGAAGTCCTGAAGCTGGAACATCCAATCCTAGACCAGGCCAACCAAGTGTAAGACCTAATGCTATGAAAAATAGACAAAAACAGCTGGAAGCGTTATTGAAGTATGAGAAGAGATTTCGCCATACTGATATGGTGGGGCCGTCTGATGGTGACAATGAACCCCCTAGACTTTCGCAAAATCTTCACAATATCAGGCAACAGAAAACACCAGTTTCTACAAATTTGGCCTCACTGATGGTCCCCCATGTATTAGATATTTCACAAGTTTTGGAATGTAAAAAAGTTACATGGCAGAAATTGAACTTTGAAAACTTGACTGGAGCACCGACTGGGACTATATTCTACTCTTTAGTTGAAGGTCAGAATGAAATTTTGATGTTTGGAGGCATTGAGAAGGACATACATGCTTTACAAAGGGGTCAGGGGATCCAATCACATACTGTGAACAATTTACTATATGTTATTTCCCCCATACATCATCTTCATTGAGAATTTTTTTTTTATTCTGCATTATTTTTATCTTTGTTAACATATTTTGGAAGCACTTATGCTGTAAGACAGATTCATTCTTTAAAGCTACAGCATCACTGGATCTGTCTACACTTATATGAGCCGTGCCATGACAAAACCAACAAAGTGCGTTAGCGACCAGCATGGATCCAGACGAGCATTCGCGCAGTCTGATCAGGATCCATGCTGTTTGCTTACAAACCCTATTACAAGTAGAGAAACTGATTGCGAACAGTATGGATCCTGATCAGACTGCGCAGATGTGCAGACTGGTCTGGTTCTGTGCTGGTCGCAAACACATTATGTTGGTTTTGTCATGGCGCGGCTCAATTATATTACTCATAAAAGTAAACGTTTGCAGTTTCCAGTGGATTGCTTTGACTTTAAAGTTGCAACTGTGACAAATCTGAAATGTAAATACTGCTTCTTTGTATAGTTCCATTTTCTTTATTAATGGGTCACAAAATAAAATGTTTTAACAGTTAAAGAAATCATAGCAAGATTAATGTTATTTAAGAGAAAATATATCCCAAACAGTGATTTTTTTCTGTTCGGATACGAGGAACTATATCACGGATGCGAGGAATTCTATCACGTGGGTGTAGCCTGAGTGATATAATGATGCACATTCGAGCGACAGTGATTTTATCAAGAGCCGGGCTAACCTGCATCCTTGACCAGGCTCTATGTTAAATATTTGTACATGTATTTGATTAAAAAATCCGTAAACTTCAAATTGACTGTTCTTGATGCAAAGCAGGACAGATCCATATGAAAAATTAAGCAAGTAAATCGTAAAATGTTCGTATATTTTGTTTGTAACATTTTTGTAGTAGATATTATATGACTATTATACATAAAAAATGAAGGCCACCAAAAATGCTTTTGTGTTGCGAGTTTTTTCAGGATTGTAACAAATACTTGTACACTTAATACCAGATAATAAATAATGTTAAAAAAGAAAAATGAAAATTTTGTTATGAGTGTTTTGGTAATTAATGTGTTAATTTGTATTAATGATAGCCATTGATTCAAAATTAGTCCAACCTTTGGGTACAACTTACACTGTTAAAAACTTTGTATAAACCACTTTAAATAAGGAACAGGTTGGAGAAACCTTTTTTCCAACTCTTGTATCTAACATATTAAATTGCTGTATGATAACATGCTATAACTATTAAACTAAGACATATAATTCATTTTGCTTCATTTTCACATAAATCAGACAATATATTGCTTGTGTTGGTACTTTGTACGGACACCTGTCCATTATATTGCTATGTTAATTAACGTACCCTGACGTCATTTTCTTTCCATGTTAATTCCTTCCTCCGCCCTTTCCCCGTTATCTGTACCCTTAATGTTATTTGCTCGCTAGGATCATCCCCTCCCTGTTAATGTTCTTTCTCCTATTAGCGCCATTTACTCAGCAGGAATTTATTTACTGATCCAGCACTGTATTGGTGATGCGGTTACGAATTTTTTTGTATGTGTCTGTGTGTGCGTGCGTGTTCACCAACAGAAATCTTTCTTAACTTATTTTCGCTGAAAAATGTGTATCATTTAGAACTCTATCCTTGTATAATAAATAAGAATTCCAAGTGTAAGCATGATAATAAAATAAAAAAACTAAAATTATACATCATTATTTTATTTTAGCAATCTAGCAACAGTCTTAAAGCAAATTAAACACTTTAACTACCATAACTCAACAACATCTCGTCAACTACAATAAACTCAATTAACCCCAACAGATAGAAAATAAACATTTTTGTTATCGCATGTTCGCGCAACCTGAATGTTGCACGACCTATTTAAACTGCTGACATGCCTTAACTGTCCTCAAAATGGCGCAAAAGTTGTTCAGGTATACAGACTGTTGTGCAATACAAACAAAAGTACAAAAAACATAAATGTGCATGTTTACTTGATAGCTATTATATAACTATTTGTTCAATAATGCAACTTACTGCAGCATATACTTGCATAAAGTAAATATACTTTTACTATTTACGGTATACAAGATTGATACATTTACTTTAGATTGACAGTTCTTGAAAATAGCTGAAAAATAAACCGAGGAGAACCCTTTTCCCATTAACCTGTATATTGATAAAGCAGTAAGGAATTTCATTAAATTTAATAAAATCTGATATTATGTCAACAGCATTAGAGATGCTGAATAGCTAAAAATAGTACTTTAAGTTTACGTGACTTTTGCCATATTTAGAACAAGCAGGCCTGCGAAAGCTGTTTGATTCTGGCGCGCGACATTAAGCTGCGTGACCTTACTCTATGTCGAATTCACGAGGAATGGTCATATGAGCCGCGTCACGACAAAACCAATAGTGCGTTTGCGACCAGCATGGATCCAGAACAGCCTGTGCATCCGCGCAGTCTGATCAGGATCCATGCTGTTCGCTATCAGTTTCTCTACTTGTTATAAAGTTTGTAAGCGAACAACATGGATCCATGCTGGTCGCAAACGCACTATGTTGGTTTTATCGTGACGCGGATCATATCTAAAAATAAGTAAGCTGTACCAATGACCCAGCTAGACTGCTATTGACCAGCTGCCAGATATACCATCCTTAAAATAATACTTGTAGGGGACTAGTTTTAAATTTCACAATATTGTAACTATTATAAATGTTTACTGATAATATTTTTCAAATCACTATCACAAAACAATAGTTTTATACAGTTTAAAGGATTGTATACCGAATAAACCACTGTACGTAGTGTTAATTGTAACGTACATGTAAATATTTCCAATTTTCCTGTTACCCATTTGTCCTACTCGATCTTAATTTTTCGTTTAAGTAAAGCGTATTTTTTTGAAGCGGAGCATGCTCAAAACAATGTTGGTTATTTGATTAACAAAAATGGATGCCACCAGCTATCATCCTCAACACTGTGACCTATACAATATAATGGTCCTTGACATCAATAACTCAAAATATACTGATATGCTAAACAAATGACTTCAAAAGTTAAAATTTTAAACCACACCAGTTCTGGATTAGTAATCTTTACGTAATCCTGTTATTAGTCCCCTACCGGTTTACCGGAGGGGACTTTAGGTTTACCCTCCGTCCGTCTGTCTGTCCGTCCGTCCGTCAGTCCGTCCGTCTGTCCGTCCGTCAGTCCGTCCGTCCACAAAACTGGATCCCGCGATAACGCAAAAAGTACTGAAAATATTTTAATGAAACTTGATATATGGATAGATGGCAGTATGGAGATTATGCACGTCTTTTTCTTTTCTTCCTATGTTGAAAATTCTGGTTGCTATGGCAACAAATAGACTGAAAATATGACAAATTTTACACATAAACTGGATCCCGCGATAACGCAAAAAGTACTGAAAATATTTTTATGAAACTTGATATATGGATAGATGGCAGTATGGAGATTATGCACGTAATTTTCTTTCTTCCTATGTTGAAAATTCTGGTTGCACAAATAGACTGAAAATATGGCAAATTTTACACATAACCTGGATCCAGTGATAACACAAAAAGTACTGAAAATATGTTTATGAAACTTGACATATGGGTAGATGGCAGTATGGAAATTATTCACATCCTTTTCTTATCTTCCTATGTTGAAAATTCTGGTTGCTATGGCAACAAATAGACTGAATTTCAAGATTTCTGATTCTAGTTTTTAAGTTTTTTCACTATAAGTTCTTTATTTCTTAAGGTATTTTCTTCAAACTTTAAATATAAGTTGCTTGTCATCAACCACATCATATGTGACAAGGTTTACAACTCTAGCACAAAATTTATCAGAATTACCTCCCTTGAACTTGAAATTTTCATGAAAAAAACATTGTTTTTTTTAATAACTTCTTTTTCTGAATGTATCTACTTCAAACTTCATATAAATGTTTCTTATTGTCACTCAACATTTGTGAGTGTTCAATACTCTAGCAAGACTATTTCCAGAATTATGCCCCTTTTGAACTTAGACTTTTTTTTGAGAAATTGGTAATTTTTACTCCAACTTCTTCAATCATGATAGGATTTTAAAAATGTTATATTTTGATAACAGGGATGTTTAAAAAATAACTTTAGAGTGTCTTTCAGTCTGTCTGTCTGTACATTAAAACTATTTCCTGTGATCACTTTTAAAGAACTTTTTCAACAAATTTACTTAAAATAGGAACCTAAGTGAATGGCCAATGGCCCTTCAGAATGTTGCTTGGGCTCTTACCGGTAGGGGACTTATATGGATTGCTTGCAATACTATGATAATTGCTTGTTGTTTTTAGCTCACCTGTCACAACGTGGCATGGTGAGCTTTTGTGATCGCCTTTCGTACGGCCGGCGTCCGCCCCTCCGTTCGTAAACTTTTACTTTAAACGACATCTCCTCATAAACCGCTAATCGAAACTTCACAGGAATGTTTCTTTGGTAGTAAAATTGTTCAAAGAATTAAATTCCAAGCAGAACTCTGGTTGCCATGGTAATCGAGAGAAAAAAACCTAAAATATCTTCTTTTAGAAAATCGAAAGAGCTAGAGCTAAAGTATTTGGCATGAAACATCATCTAGTCAGTATCTACAAAGTTTGTTCAAATAAATGCCCTGGGATCAAAATTGGCCCCGCCCCGGAAGGGGGGTCATTGATTTTCCTTATTTGTATATAGTAAAAACTTAAATAAATCTTTTAAAGAACCAAAATAGCTAGCGCTTAGATATTATTTTATTATCTTCTAGTGGGTGTCAACCATGTTTGTTCAAATAAAAGCTCTTGGGTAAAAAGTGGCCCAGCCCCAGGGGGTCATTGTTTTTCCCTTTATGTATATAGTAAAAAAAACTTTCTTTTAAAAACCTAAAAGAGCTACAGCTTAGATATTTAGCATGAACCATCTTGTAATGGGTGTCTACCAAGTTTGTTCAAATAAGGGCCATGGGTTAAAATTCGCCCAGTCCCGGGGGTCATTGATTTTCCTAATATGTGAATAGTAAAAACTTTAAAAAAAATCTTATAAAAAAAGAGCTAGAGCTTCGATATTAAGCATGAAATATCTTCTTCTGAGTGTCTACTTAGCTTGTTCAAATAAAAGCTGTTTACAATTGGCCTTGGCCCAGGGGCCTATTTACATCTGAGCGATTTCAGGGCCATTATGTCCCTCTTGTTTAAATATTTTGTTCGTTCATTAGATGCGGCATTAACAAGCCCTTTTGCATATCGTTTAATTCTAAGTCTTCTATTTTTTTTGTCTTTAATAAACGACCAAACGCACTAGCTGTTGTTCATGAAAAACAAAGTTTTAGTAGAGCTGAATATATCTCGAATTAATATACTTTAGAAGATACGTTTGACGTGCAGTCCATAGCTAGCACATGAATCCTAATTTCCGTCGCTGATTATTTGAAGTCGATGCGCATATAATAACATAGTCTGGCAAATACAAACCAACAACCAGACAGACAGCCAGATAGTAAATATACAGTATAGAGACAATATGTTATATATATAACACCTCTTTAACAGATCGGCATTTCATATCAAGTCAAGTTTACAAGGAGCTATATAATTAAATAAAAAGATTATTAAGGTGCACCTACAGGTGATAAAGAACTAGAAGAAAACTCAAGCCTACTTTCGTTGTTGAACTTGTGACCGATGTTACCAAAGGAAGATGAAATGAGCCGCGTCACGACAAAACCAACTTAGTGCGTTTGCGACCAGCGTGAATCCAGACCAGCCTGCGCATCCGCGCAGTCTTATCAGGATCCATGCTGTTCGTTTACCAACTCTATTACAAGAAGAGAAACTGATAGCGAACAGGATGGATCCTGATCAGACTGCGCGGATGCGCAGGCTGGTCTGGATCCATGTTGGTCGCAAACGCACTATGTTGGTTTTGTCGTGACGCGGCTCAAATATATACTGCACTGCTTACTTTCACACTTTATAGAATAATTTATAACAGCTTAAGCTCTACGTTATGTAATTTAGTAGTGTTTAGCCATACTTAGATATTAATCTTACTGACTTGCGCACTACTTGCAGTTTAATTAAGATACATTAGTGTCCGATAAGTGTGCCCTAGGCAGTTTTATGTACATTTTATAAATTAACTTTATATAACAAGAAAAAGTCAACTTTCTGGACATTTACTTTCTGCCGTTAAATAAATAATTTCAATGATTATAGGAACTTGCAGTCTAATACATTTTGTTTCATCTCATGTCGATCTAGCTAAAAACTTTAAAAGACATGCAAAATTTATTTCAGTTTTTCATTTATCATATATATCTATATTTAAAAAACAACAACATTTAATTCATGTCCCAAAACAAGCCTTAAGTATAGGTTAGTGTTCATTTATGATTAGTAAGCATTGGTCAAGAACGAAACTTTATTGTAAACCATAAATTTTACACAACAACTGACTAAATCATGAATAACTCTTGCTCACTCTCTAACTCATCCACTCACTCACCAACTCACCCACTCGCTCAACCCCTTGCTTGCCTGCTTGTTTGTTTGTTTTCTTTCTTTACTTTTCTTTACTTTACTTTACTGTACATTACTTCTCCTTTCACTTTACACTTACCTTACTTTACTTTTATATCTTATTTTGTTTGTTACTTATTTTATTTATTTATTTATTTATTTATTTATTTGGAGAACAAACTGAACCTTCTGTTGGCAAGGTCACGTGCTTAGAATGATAGCACAACTTCCGGTGCGTCAGTGAAAGAAACGTAAACATTATTTAATTTTACGTAAAAGTGCGCCCCTTAATTACTATTTACCGGAATATTAATTAACCAATGAAATGTGAATAACTAACATTTCCCAATGTACACGCTTCTTGAGAAATCGAGAAATGTGTCAAAATATGACGGATAAGATAGCTCCAGGTTAAATGAAAACTGCAAATTAAATTGTTTTAAACCGCTTAACAGTCACAAAAATGACCAAAATGTTACTATGAGTTTCCTCATATATATTCAACTAACGTACGGTATTTCGTGATGACTTTACAAGGTATTTAATTGAAGGAAGTGACCGCTTTATTTGTCATAACCTTCAACCAGTGAAATACTAGTAAAAGAGCCTGGCGTTTTATTTCAAGAGTAAACTGGTCGCGCGTCTGTTAAAAAAATAAAGTGAACAAATACTTGTAAAATAATAAATATAACTATATGTGGTTATATATTTTGGAAAATTTAGACAAGTTTTAGGAGAACTCGGGATTTTAAAAATAACTCGTTTACACAGTTTATTTATCGGATATAGAAAATATGAAGGTTCTGCAAATTGTTTTAGGTAGGTATTTTGTTATCGTATATAATTTCATATATATATAAATATATTGGAAGATTTATTCAAAGTGTAGAGCAACGTATTTTTACCAGACCTTTTTTACTAATAATACATTTCTGTTTTTGTATTAATGGAAATATCCGCATATATTATGTTTATAACATTTTAATATGATTGTAATATTTCAGGGTCATTGGTTCTTACTTGCAATGTAATAGCACAAAACTTTCCAACAGGGCAAACTGTACCGCAAAATCCACAGTTTAACCAGCAGCCACAAAACCCACAATTTGTTCAGCCGACAATGAACCAACAGTCGCAACAAACACCCCAAGCGTTCCAACCTGGGCAACCAGCCAATCAGAACTTTCCTCAGCAACCCGGTCAAATGGTTCCTGGGAATCAAAATGCTAACACGAATGGGAACCAGATGAATCCACAAGAAATGACACCAGAACAACAAAGTCAAATTTCATGCGCACAGGTGATTGTTTTTCCCCAATAGTGCAACATATCGGTTACGTATATCTTTTATAAATGGCATAATTGACAACACGGTTTTGGAATGCTCTATATTCTTGCCCCGCCAAGTTAGCTCAATTGGAAGAGCACTGGACTGTTCATCAAGCAACCATAGTTTGATTCCTGAAAAGTGCATGTGACTTTCGTTATGATTGATCATGAAAATATTTCTACCGTCATTAGTACTGTACCTCTGCTCCAGCGTGAACAGTATATAAATAACACATGGGTTTGTGGGTAACAGTAAAAATATCATCCTGAGGAAAATACTGTTACCCGAGGAGTAAAAATATCATCCTGAGGAAAATACTGTTACCCGAGGCTAGGCTACGCCTCGGGTAACAGTATTTTCCTCAGGATGATATTTTTACTGTTACTCACAAACCCATTTGTTATTTATTTTATTACCCCGAACAAAAATACTGCGATGATCTGAAATTGTCAACTAAATCTAACTGTAACAAAAATAAACCAAGAGTAACAATAACTAAACTGTCCTAACCTCTTAAGTTTAAGGGTACTTTAGGCCTACTTGAGAAGTTTTCTTTTTCTTTTATTCTTTATGCAAGTGATGATATCAACAAATCATAAACATACAATAAGCTAGGTTTTATTTAGAAAACAAAACACTGACCCATTTACACGGTTATGATCTGTGAAATTTGATCCTTCTGTTTCCAGAATATTCTTAGCATGGTTTTTGACAAAATAACGTTGATATCCTATGTCTGTCCACCATATCTGTAAAGTTTCACTGATTGAAATTGTTAAATAATCCTTTGTTGCATGCTTAAATCGTCTGCATGTTCCAGTTTTACACATAATCATTTACATTGCAAGTACTTCCATTGAAAACGGATGTTCACTTTTTGACTATTCAACAAAAAGATATTTTAAACACGAAAAGCACACCAGGGTGCGAACAGCTAAATTTTAAGGGTGTCAAAGTTACTCCAGAGAAGAAATGGATGTCCTATCGGGGTTTAACGTCGAAAATAAGAATGAATCGAGAAAAAAATGGCGGCCATTTTATTTCATTTTATTTAGAAAATAGACCACGTGACCAGATATTATACTGTTAAAAAATACTGTTACCTATGTTACAGTACAAAATTCTTAGTCACGTGGTACACTTGCATTAACAGTAAAAATAACTCCCAGAGGCCTATGGGAAATTAGCATTACGAAAAAAGTGAGGGGTAATAAAAGTAACTAGCAAAACTTTGCGCAAGCGAATGCATCTTGTACTGGTAAACTGCTTGACAGCTTGCCTAGGACCGATGCAGTGGCTCAACTGTACTTTTGTATTATTAAAGTTGCTTATTGTCGTGACGTGATCCCGAAGGTAAACTAAACCACTTGCTCATTGACGATCTTAAGCCTGTTGTAATAATTGTTACCTTATTTAAAATATTTTGTAAAAAGACCGAATAATAATAATAACAATAACACAAATCTTAACTTTTATCTAACATTTTCTGTTGCGACAGGAACAGTCAAATTGACCTATATGTTTTACAACGATAATAGATATGATGTACATGTAATTGAAATATACAATTTGAGCCGTGTCACGACAAAACCAACATAATGGCTTTGCGACCAGCATGGGTCCAAACCAGCCTGCGCATCCGCGCAGTCTGGTCAGGATCAAAGCTGTTCGCTATCAGTTTCTCTACTTGTTATAGGGAATTGTAAGCGAACAGCATGGATCATGATCAGACTGCGCGGATGCGCAGGCTGGTCTGGAACCATGCTAATCGCAAACTAACTATGTTGGTTTTGTCGTGACGCGGCTCTATTTGTGTTACATAAAAAGCACATCATACAGTATACATGTAGTATATTTTGAAGGTACCTTAATAATTTTTCATTACTTTCGTTATATTGTGGTCTTACTCTTTCTCTTTGAAGATTTAAATGAATTCTGTTTTCTTGATAACTGTAATAAAATGAAGCAATCTAAAGTAAAAACAAAATTGTTAAAAAAAACTTGACAATAAATATTTGTTGTGTTGATAGGCTGGACGAGCAGCTGTATCGCAGTGTTTCCAACAAAATGGCGGCTTTCAAATGGTCACCGTGATTGCCCTTCTTTCAAATGGTACCCAAGGTCAGCTTCCACCAAATTCCGATCAGATCAAACAGAATCTATGTCAGTAAGTATTAAAAGACATCAAACATTCCTTGTCCTCAATATCTATAATGAAACATATTCGTGCTCTTAAAATGTTTTTTCCGTGGAAATAGTTCTGATAGAAAGTGAAAAATTATATTTGAATATTGTGCAATTGTTTTCGTTAATTTTCATTCTAATGTTATTATTATCTGTTATATTACATGATAAATAAACTACCATGTATGTACATCTATAACAGCTTTCTTATTCCCGATGAAATTTTAATAAAATAACCTTTATGTATACTTAGCATTTTGCATTAAAGGTCACACCAACAGATTGTAGCTTGTGTATTCAGTGGTATAAAACGATTTAATGGCACACAGCAGTGTAACACACCCGCTGCATTTACTAGACTCGAACAGGAAACAGTCGGTCTTCTTAATGGAGTCCAACAGATGTGCGGAAAAGGTACATTTGATTAACTTATATATTGTAAGCAATTTTAAACTGGTTTAGACAGAAAAGACCGTTGATCAACAACCTTTCATTTATCGAATGACCGCTACTTAAAACACGATAGACTAAGCCGACATTTTTGGACATGTTTTGAAACAAAAAATCTATTATCAATTGAATGTTTTTTTTTCTTCTCTGACATGTAATCAATTGGAATCCTTACTTTTTGCACATCAGGTTTGATGCCAAAGGTCACACCATGTATGCAGAGATTGAACTTTGACATGATGCAGTGTTATAAAGAAGCTGGTCTCAACCCTGACCTTTTCTCACCTCGATGTTCCAGGATTGAGGGCGCGATAATAGGTGACAATAGAGAAGTTGCCCGTATGTTCTGCAGGTGCGCTGATGTTTAATAAAATTTTAATGATATATTTTATGTGGAAATTTTGTAACATTGTTGGTGTTCCACTCTTCGGCTGTCTCTTTGACCATGTGTAGCTTTGTTTTTATTCCCAGGGATTTTAAATTTATTCATTTCAAAACTTAAATCTTTGATGTATTTATCTATACCTGTCGGCTTCCCGTGGCATTTGCAGAGAGAATTTTAAAGAAAAAACATTAATTAATATTTGAAACACAAAAAGAGATATATATTTTTCAATGAATTAATGGCTTAGTAGTTTTGAATTAGCTTACAATATATACATACTGGTCGCAAATAACAATAATGTTACTTTAATTACTTTTATTTGATAGTAAGCGACAGGCACTTTATTCATGCCAGAACCGTGTGATAGATAGATGTGACGGTGCGAAAACCCTGCAACTGTTAGGTGGTAACGATCAACGCTCAATGCAAGCCGGTATGGACGTTCTATGCAAAGATGTAGACGGTAAGTATTCTTTGATTACAAACCAAAACGCAAAAAAAACCAAACAAAAAAAACAACAACAAAAACATAAAGATTTGTGTGCGAAGTTTTGTAAAAACAGTTGCTGTATATCAGTTAATGTTGTTATATATTCTGGTACACGTATATCAGAATCATTAAATCCAGTACTTTTTAAGTTGAAGATTGGAAATCGTCCAAGCCGGTGCTAGGGAGCATACTTTCCTTTTTTCTCAACAGACTACATACATCCTAGACTGCTATTTTCAACTACAGTTAGTTCTGTAAAGGGATTTTATAACCCTAAAACATAAAAAAGTGTAACAATGGTAATTTAGTTCCATGATCAATAAGATTACGCGAAAAAGTAATAGAATGCCTTTGACATATAGGAAACCTGTTTGGCATACTGCTTAATAGTTTTTTATTTTATACATTTACCATCGAACATATTTCATTTGTAACATTTTTGTTTTCTCAAGAAAGTCTGACACAAATAATATACATTTGTTTAGTTGTCTGCATCTAACTAGCGTCGTACATATTTGTTAGTTAATGTATCCTAGATGACCCATTGCTCATGTTGTGACAACATGTGAGTAGTCAGCAGGGGCTCATCCGGAACATCCCTGACTACTCGTGTGTGAAACTATTTTTTGTTGTTGTCGTTATATTTATATACATGTATTTATTGGTTTTCTTTGAATATAAAATGCGTTAAAAAAGGTGTAATCCCCTTCAAAAAATTTATTAACATTTTGCAGAAAATAACATTTTTTTCATTATATATGACGATGATTCAGTAACCGTCTTGAGGACACCAAAGGAGATCCAAGCAATAAAACTTACAAATGCTAAAATTATTTCCTATGGTTAGTGACTTAATAGGATTCCGTAAAAGAATATCATAATTTTATCAAAATAGTATATTGTAAACACTTGCTTCTTGAGAAATTTGCAGAGATATGGTTAATGAATATTATAGACAAATGTACAGTACAATTATTTCGTCTTGATCTCTGAAATTAGTTTAGTTGTTAATTGGGTCATTTTTCGTTTACAGTGTACGTTAGCGGACTAGTCTGCTTCCAGTCGCCGACACCAAAGGTTGAGTCATGTGCCAACAAACTTATTGGAGAAATGACAGAATTAACCATGAGACAAATCAAAGAAAATATGAATGCTGACACGTTTTCCCGCGAATATTGCAAGTAAGCGAACTTTAGCCTTAAACCGCTCAATTTGTAAAATGAACTTGTCTAGCAACAATTTTAAACTGTCTATTATCGTTTTAGGGACATTAAGAGAAAAATTAAAGTAAGCTAAGCCGACAGTGTAGAGCCTGGCCAGACTGCACGGTTGTGAACACTGGCCTTGGCGCAAACTGATTTCAAAGACTTATTCGAAACATCATGCTTGATTACATTAAGTTCCTGGCAACACTTTTCACCGTAGTGACTGTATTTTGCCATTGGTAGAACAAAGTCGTTTGAATTATAAACTATTAAAATGAGTTTAACATTGATATATAGCGATTAGTATTTGTTTTCTATTAAATATGTCAGTTTTTACTTGCTAGTTTTTCCTTGCTTTAATACAAGAATGAACTTTTTGCAGGGTCAGACTATCAAATCTTCAATGTGATAGTAGCGCCTGGGAGCAGTCATGCGAACGTGTGGCAGTCGGACTGAAAACAGAGTACCAATGCAATCTACTTCCGGCTAATTGCAAAAATGACTCATCAATCAAAGATATCTATCTTCAAGCATGCGCAGAGAAGGCTTTCGCTCGTGAATTAAGAAGTACTCAATCCGGGGCTGTTTCTTTGGTCTCGGGGGCTTCAGCTGTTATATCAACACTTTTATCTGTATTTGTTATGACATTATAATATTATTTTTATATCTGGACGACTGCAATGTTAGATTTGAATTATTTTGGTGTCTTTGGCCAGACACGTGACCAAAAATTAGTTGAAGTTATGTTATATTGTAAATACTGTATATATATAAACATGTTGTTCATATGAACGAAAGAAAACTCGTGAACTAGAGATAAAAAATAATTTGTCTTGAAAAGTGGCTTGTGTCACATTATTGAAAATCAGGCTGATTCCTTATAAACTGTGTGTCATGTTTGTTCATTATTCAGGGCAAATATGTAAATAAATGAAAATAAGAATTCGCGACATGTATATTTACTTTTGTTTGTTTTGTACAATTTTACTTTTATGTTTTTATACATTAGATTTGTAATACTATATAAGTTATTAAAAGATCATATTTAACATGTGTGTTAAAATCTTATCTATTGCTTGAAAAATAAAGTAATTTACATATTGCAATCGCCACTTACAATCCACGAAAATTACCAAAAAGAGGTCAACATTTGCAAAAACAGCCCTTATACTGGTTATTTACGCAGTAGAAATATGGCGATAAATACTGCACAATTAGGCCATTTATCGCAAAATCAGTGTTAAGTAAAATATAAATTGATTTTTGAATGTTTATACCGTTCTGAAAAGTTTAGTGCATTTTTCTCAACATTGATTTTCCTGAAATATATAGGCTCATCTGGAGGACTAAAAATTTACCTTATCAACTAGTTTTAACATGTACCTTTTCATCATAGACATCAAACATCATATATATGAAAAATAAAAATAATGATAAAAAAAACGAACAAACAATACAGTACCATTTGTTTTTGTAATAACTGTTGTTCTAAGTGATCGCGCATATTTTGATTATTCAAAATCAGTTTGATTTATGTATGTAACATACCTTTACATTTTAAAAGGAAGGGACAAATGAGCAAATATTGATAAAATGATATTTGTCTTCCATATCGTGCAAGTCACAATAGATACAAATATCTTCTTGTGTTGGTATCCACATTGTTATCAAATCTACTAGTGTTGATAAATAAAAGGCAAAAAAGACATATTTATTTTACAAATACAAAGCAAACAGGTTGTTTGATAAAAAAACAAGTTAAGTGCACTTGAGATTTGTACATAAATTTGAAATTTTAAGTTGCCAAATTCAAACAATGCATGATGTCTACAACATAAACATGAATAAACGATAAACAGTTGACAATATGCAGTACAGTATTGCTTACTCGTGAAGCCGTTGCTTTTCTAATAGAAAACATTTGATGCTTTATTACTAAATTAAAAGAATACTGTATTGAAATGTGAAACATTTGGCCAAATTTATCTTCTTATCTTTATCAATAGTCTTTAAAATGCTCTGAATACTCTAAATTCTAATATTTCTTTGCTACCGGTTTGAATTCGCTATTTTTATTGATTCTATTAGCTATTAACAATAAAGTTCATTCTCATTCAATTGTTATAATATAGAGGTACATCATTGTTTTATATATGTACAATAACATGCAGTTATATAGCAAAAGAATGTGTCTCTTTTTATATGGCTGATTATATCTCTTCAGAATGACGTAAGTTTTTTTTTCAAAATACAATATTTTATACCAGTATGTAATTGCATGACCCAACGATGGCAGACAAAAGATCATTTTGGGTAGCCCTAGTTTCGCCACAAAGAACACGTGTAAGGACCGACATTTAAAAGGGACATGTTTTAAGGTCAATATAACATTTAACCCCTTGAATAAAAGAGTTATATACTCTAATATTCTCTCTGAATTCGCCTCGACTGATTCTAAATTTTATTTTTGAATCATTTACAACGAATAAGCTCTTTACTGTAAATTCTAGCCTAGATATTGATGTAAGCAACATAGAACAACGAGAGAAGCACACACACGAGTTTTTATATTTTAGTTTTTATATTTTTCCCTCGTTAAATGTTGGCTCTTACTAGCAATGCAACATAGTACACTAATAGTCAACGGTTGATAAATGTACTTTATAGATAGATAAAATATTTCATGTCATTGTTGAACATTCAGTAAATCAAACCGACTCTTTAGGTTTATTTCTGTATTTGACATTGGCCAATCTGAGAGCACCCTTAACATCACGTGCTCTCTAACAACCAATCAATTAACGGCACCAGCCTTTCAGGAAAAACCTTTAGAAGTGAAAAGCACGCTACATCTGCTCTGTTATGATTTTATCGTTTTCAATCAATTATGATTTTGCTTATGAATTTTCCCATACACAGTCCACAGGGTCATTGCTACACTATAAACAGATGCACATAAATAAACCGGAAGTGACCTGTAGTTACTTCTGGCTATATTAATATCAATGTATCAGTTCTGTCATAATTTGACATGCGATCTGTTTAAGTTATGAAATGATATAAAGTATTTATTATGTCACTATATAAGTTTATTTTTAGTACATGAAATCATCTCATACATTATACATGATTGCGGTGTTGATTAAATCTGTCATGGGTCAAATATATCGCATTTGTGAGATATGTTCAGCGTCAAATTTTATACTTATATTATGACATATCCTGTCTGGTATGTTTTCAAATTTTCACCGAAACGAATATCTCTTGTACGTCTTAGGATACAACAATGTGTGAAACCACTAGTTATTATTTTGTTTGAATGAAATGTATCTGCTCCATTTGACACTGCACCCCTAGCAGGATCATGTTCTGCCATATTTCAAATTCACTTTTGTCAAGGGGGTGCTGTTAATGTTATTTGCAGTTACCGTTATGTACAATTAAATTTTTTATTATCGTTATGTAATACATACAAAAAGCAAGCAATAAAATATGAGTATACAAAACGTCTTGGTTGTCGTGACAACGCCGTGAATTCTCAAACTTACATTAACAAGATAGATTTTTCTTGCAATCTAACGGCCCTTTTATTTGGAAAGTTTTATAACATCTTGCCAACGCAGTATAGTGTGCGCTTAACGCTTTACATGTCACAATATAACAGTGAATGACAGATATGCTAAAAATAAGCCTCATAAAATTTGTTTTCTGTGTGTAATATGTGCTTGAATTAAAAAAACTAAGTTAAAGCTTATCGAATTTTGATCGTAAATGCTAGTACTAACTTCTCGTTGCTGTCTGATTTAAGATTCAACACATTGTATGAAACAGTGCAAATATGTACTGCATACCTTTAGAAGAGCCGAGTAAAATGCTTCGTAGGTGAATCTGTGCAGTGGGCTTCGTCCGTACTTGCAGTACTCGTTTTTTTATGTACCGTGTGTCTTATTTGTATATAAATAGTGTTGCTCGAAATGGTTTATCATAATGCCTTGACCATTCATTATTTATCTCCCGATTAAACGATATATAAACTTTTAATAAGCAAATTACCAACAATAAAACATCAAATTTATATATAAAGGCATCCGACCCGGTAAATCTAACCAAAATAAAACAGCACTCGGTGACCGCTTTACTATATAAAAGGTGGCTATTTAAGTTTTAGAACTCTGTCCGTACAGCCACGGATTTATAAATCCGTGATACAGCACTATCCAAATCATCTCAAAAGAAAAAAACTTTAAAAGATAAATTTCTTTAAAACGAACTTGTGTAAAAGTCTTGAAAAATTCAGATGCAATGTAACAGTTCTTACACTGATGCGTTTTGTCCAAATACGAAACAGTTCCACAACATGTTTACGCATGATTTAATTTTAGCCTGGTTCCACGATATTAAATCTCGTTAAAATACAGGCAAGCACACAGTCCATTATTTTTGAAAAAAAAAGTAAATGCAATTGTTTTCCAACAAAGCAAGAAAAGTGTAAAGCTGGTGTATGTTTTTGTGTACTAGCTTGTGCTTTTATTGACAACAAAATAAATCGAGTCATTCCGCAGTAAATCATGCGTCTTACTTAAAATCTATTAGACTATTTACATGTTAAATGTTGATACTGTACATCAAAGATGCCGCCAATTGATATGAACAGTCAAAGGTTATGTACAAAACAATTGTTCTCTGTTACAGTTGAATATCCGAAGAACTTATCAATTTTTCTTGGTATGTGCTCGTTATTTAATAATTTGCATATTTTTGTGAAAAGGTAGAAACCTAATGCATAAACTTACAAAGTAATGCCATGTCTAAAATCCTGAAATGTTTGTCTGTTGCGACAAAGATTGAAAGGTCTGGTAGAAGCAAAATAAATTTGATAACAAGTAAATTTACAACAAAAGTTTATGTTGATACTATATTTTATGTTTATAAATAATTTTAGTTTGATACATTGTTCACTTTAAAGAAAATTATCTCAGATGTCCCAAGAATATGTTCATTTCGCGTCCATTTTGCAAGCAGTGAATCCTTCAAAACAACCTATTGCAAACTTAACATTTGCGATACATTTGAAAACAAACTTCCTTTTTTTATTCAGTTAATCTGTTTAATTACTTTAATGTTAATTATTTTCATGAATAAGCAAACTCTGTGCCTGTCACTATTGCAAAAAATGTCCGTTGCGCCATAGAAATTTCCGTTGCATATTTTAGTCATACCCTTGGTTCCCTGTGCAAATTTGGTTCCCGTCATTAGAATATAGACTGGCTCATTGACAGGTTATTTATTAGTAAATAAAAATAGAGATAAAAATAAAAAGCATATGAAATTTAAACATGGAGCTATCAATTAAGTTAAACATTTATTTTAATTCATTAAAGCTCGGTGACATGTACATCAGAAAAGCTATTTATTATAAATGTGAAAATAGTGTAATTTTATTATAACAAAAAAAATAAACCAAAGCAAGACTTAAATTGACCCCATTGCTGAGTGGACGAATACTATTTCTACTAGACACTGCGTGCACGCGGCGTGTAAAAATGATATTTCTGGGTCCTAGATTGAATGCTATCTAGAATCAGTATCATACATAAAGATTAGTAGATTATTTTTTCTTTTAACAAGATCTGTCACGCAAGTGACAAATGCCCCCGAAAAGGTTTCTTAAGCATGCAGGTATTATGAAAAGAAAGAGAATGAATGTAACTAATTGCTTAATATTGTTCTTGTGAAATTAAGTGCTATTTATATCAAACTTAACACCTTGGGACATATCGTCGCCTAACTCTAAAAGTGTCCTTTGTCCATTTTTGCAAAATTTGAGATAAATGAACCATTCTTTTTACCTTACATTCCTCTATCTTTTAAGCTTTAGGTTCAAGGTTATGATCACCTAGAAACGGAGTTACCGAGTATGAACTTTGCTCTATGTCCACATTTCGCATGATTGTTT